TTCATAAATAGCCTTTGAACTTATCTTCGAGTTAGGTATTCGTAAACCAAATATCAATACATAATATCAAATAACTTGATATACATTTAGCTCGCCTCTATTATATTTTGCTGCACCACCTATGGAGACCTGCTTTACCCACTAAGCAGCGTGTTCCGGTACAAAGAAAAAATAATCACGTGCTGCTTTAAAATAAATGAGCCTTTTATTGTTATTTTGCTTGGCGTCAAAAAGCTCTAAACATAATAATGGATAGATGTTTGTATTTATGCAAAATACCATAATATGAGTATCTCATCATCAATGATATATTAATAGTTATTATGCAAGCACTTGTACAAATATATATATATATATATTTTTTTTTGATACCTTGTATAAGATCAATAAATATTAATGATATTGCTGATTTGCAATGAAAAATCATTGTACAAAGTTCTACAATTATTTTTCATTATAAATGAGCCGCCTGCCAAGTGCTGTGTATGTGCTTGGCTCAAGTCAAGTGTTTTCTGTACTTCATTTCGAAGTAATCCAATTGTTAGCACCTGAATAGGTGCACGTTCTTTAGGCATAATTTATGTGTTATTTTTGTATTTCTCTTCTTTTTTTTTGTTACCACCTGCGGCCAGTTGTTGATTTTTATAATGTGGGCGCTTAAATTATATATGCTTTGTATATTTTGCTTCCTGCACGTGTCTCATCATTATAGCGTTTATTATATGTTTGACCACACTAATTATGGGTTTTCTGTGTCAAATTGTTATTATATTAAAATCAAATTAAAACAAAATGATAGGTTATTATTGCAAACGATTGTAGTTAGTATTTGGAAAAGACTTCGAGTTCAGTTGGCTTACTCTTATCGAAAAAGTAGAAAAATTAATTGTTGTTAAGGAGAAATATATTAGATGTATATGATTGTATTCAACAATGAAATACATGACCTTTAAAAGTATATTGCAGAAACAAGGAAAATAAGAAACCTGCGCTCAATTTAGAGACATGTAAAAAGTCAATGTGAGGGTCGTTTTAAACACTAAATTTAAAACAAGCAAGAACAGATTTCTGCGGTACACCGAAGGTAAGATACCCTTGTTTCTAAATTTAATTAGTTATTCAACAAACCAAAACAATTTTCTCGGAGGTATTTTTAAGTTTCGCCAATGTATAGAGATTTAGAGACAATACAGTCAAACACTCATCGACTCGAGTATTAATGTTCATTAATAATATTTATTTACTTTACAGATCAAAGATGACTACGTCAGATCTATATACACCTCACGACGAAATTATAGGTATAATAATAATTAGGTAAACATACATATATTTAATCATTACCCAAACTAAAAAACACGAATAGCAGCCAAATGACCAATATAAATGCAAATATAAACACATTAAACAATGCTATTGGCAAAATAAAACAATACCTATTCTATGGGCTTGCGAAGTAACAAATCACTGATCATTAAAATATGATTAAAAGAAATTTAAAAGCATGCAAGTTTTTTTTGGATTAGGGCGTTGTATGCCCCAAATCAATCTACGCCCATTCGAAATTGCAGCTGCAGCACGCACCTTAACTTATTGTTGTAAGCAAAATAGTTTAAGTTAAGTTTAAATATTTTGTACCCACCATTAATTTATTTAGTTTGTAACAATGAGCTTATTCGAAAGAAAATATTTAAAGATTGCCACAGCACGACACAGACGGATGGCGCTTGCTTCTAAATGCTTGTCAAATTCCAAATTACCGATGAGCTTTCAAAAAACATTTAAGCCAGACATGTAGATAAATCAAAATCAGCCAAAGTCAATGGCAGACCGCACCACAAAATTTTATAATCAAAAAGAAAAAACAAAGTTTCACTTTCATTTAACTAACCGCCTCAAATTTTGAGGGCAGCAGCATATGTGTTCAAAAAAAAAATTCCAATTTGGCATAATAATTTTGGGCAGAGCCCGACCGAATGCGGCATTTGCTATAAATTATTTAGAAATGAATATAGGAGCTTATATAAGTAAATAAAAGCGACGCATACCTCAATAACAATCAATATAAAATTGCTTAACTTAATACTTAGGGTTTTCTTTTAATTGCTCGATAATCGACTTGAAGTTCCATTTCCTCCGCAAGACCGAGAAATTCCAAACAACAAAGAAATGCCATTACATCATTTGTGACAGATATGTATATACATATACATATATACATATGTAGATGGATGGGGTTACTAATGTCTTTGCCGGCGCTGACAAACACATGTTAATTTCGTCTCGTAGGTTCAGCTTGTCTTTCACTCCTCCGCCGTAATGTTATTGATTTCTTTTGGCAAAAACCACAAAAACACAAATTTCATAATCACATGGCGATGCCGGTGCCGGATTATTATCAGCGTCATAAATTAATCAACATACACACACCACACACACGCACACTCGCACAAATTGCGCCGGCTGCGCATCTCCAGCAAAGCTACGGTTGTTGTCGTTGTTGTATTAGTGGTGGGGTAAGCTCCAAAAGAAATGCAAATGCAAATGTGGGCAACGCTTTGATTTTGCCGGGTCCGATGCCGAAATTTAAGCTGGAGCGGGAACGGGATCGGGCGCCGGAGCGGACAGCGGCAATGTGCAAGTTGAGGCATTTATTTAGTTTTATGTATTTATTATGCATTTGCCACTAAAAGTTGTATTTTAATCGCTAGCCAAATACCAGGAGAGAAAGTGAAACAACGTTGCAACAGGCGCGCCTACTTATAGGTACATAAACATATATTACATATCTATATACATGTATATACGTATTTATGTATATATATATATACATGTATACATTTATTTATTTATTTATTTAGTTGCAATCGTCACGCAAAACCCAACCAAAATCCCTTCAAGACATTTTTCCCTCATTGGACAGTTAAAATTGTTGCGTGGTGTCATTCGAAAAACAGGCATATTTTTAAATTTATTATATTTAACGAACTGCTATCCATGCACTGGATTAACTTCTTGAACAAAACCGACATCGATTTTTATTGAAATAATTGATTATTTTGCTTTAGATATATTTTAAGTAAAGAATCCCCAAAAAATCTATGGAAATTCGAAGAGCTACCAAGCTTAATAAGCCATCAAATTGGTTACATTAGTTGTAAAAAAAAGAGGTCATCAAACTGTAGAAAATAGAGCAAAACAAGAAGAAAAAAATTGTATATATCTTTCAGTTACCGCATCGATATATCTATCCATATGCATAACTTTCGTGCTGCAAATGTTTTGCATATCTAATCATTTTATCTAAAAGTCTTTGGCTCTGTCAGATAATTAATATAAACTGTATTATAGTCAATAAGCATATTAGGCATTTAAAGCATTCGACGTTTTTGTCTTCGAGCTTGCGAAATGTTTGTCAAATTAATAAGCGTTAATTTGTGCACCACTCTGGCACAAGCTCACCTGTCACCACTTTTATGGTGAATTTAGAAATAATTTTCACTAATTTTTATGATAAATTACATAAAGCATTTTATGGTTGATGTTAAGAGGTGTCATACATAAAGACTTTGCAGCTTATGAGTCACTCAACATTATACATCAAATGAGTTGTTTTTTTTTTTTTAGATATTCAAAGCTGTAAATATGAAAATGATGTGACATAATCATTAAATCAAATACTGTATCGAGCTTTATTTGAATGTTTATTACAAGTATTACATTTTATATAGACATTAAGATTTAATGTATTTATCGCACGACACACAAGTTATTTGTTTAAATATTAACACTTGTTGCTGTTTCTATTATGGTTGTTGTTGTTGCTGTTGTTATGGTCGCTTAAAATCTAATAAATATATATTTTGCTGTACTCACAACTTCTCTTTTTTTGGTCTTAACGAACAGATTTGTTGGTTATTTCCTTTATAGACATAAATATCAATATTATATATATATATATTTTCTTTTTTCATTAATTTTGTGAAGATTTTGCAAAGTGTATCTAATAAATTTAATACGTATGCTCAGAAGCAAGATTTTTACTTTATAACTTTTAGGTTTTTGCAAAATCTTCAAACAAAATGAATTTGGGATTTTGGGGCAGTTAAGGGGTAGGGGGCGATGCATGCAAACAATGTGCACGATTTAAGGTATTTTGTTTGTTTATAATGTATGTGTGTATTAATGTGTGTGTGAGTGTCTTTTTAATACTGGATGTGTTATTAAAAGTGTTCATATAATTCGCTTATACTTAAGATTTCGTACGTTTTCGCAATCGAAAGCAATCATGCACATTGTTGCGACGAGAATCGTTTCCACAAAATACAATTTGACATAATGCAACTTAACGCTTAATCTGTGCTGTTTACTGGGCAAAAGCAATTAAAACTATTGTACAAAAATTTCATAACATGCAAATATAAAACACATTCTGTGTGTGTGATTAAGTAAAGAGTTGAGAGTGACAAAAACATATATATAAACAATAATCAAACTGGGGGGCATTAAACAACACGTTATTCATAAAGATGCTCAGTTTTTAGGTGGGTTGACAAAAAACTGAACATTTACAAAATTGTTTTTAAACATTTATTTATAATTATTAACGATTATGTAAATTGTATTTTCTTCATTACATACCACAAACATATATATATTCAACTCATTTGCCACAAATTACAACTAAATAGTCTGCTGTAATTTGTCGCAATTTGTGCTTTGGCCTACAACAAATTTCAATCTTCATTTAGCAATTCACAAAATGCAAGTGAAATGCAATTTGCAAATTGAAATTTTGACTGGAAATTTATTTGGCTGCACAATTTGTTGCTTTATATTTGTAATTGGTATGGCTTAGCTTAATGGTTAATTATAATAATATTAAATAGATTCATTATTCGACGAGTTCCATCATACAGTTACCACAAGCATGAGCAGTTTTAATGCTCCGTTTATTGGCTTTGAAAAAATAAATTAAAAATTTCACAAGCGTGTACAGATTTTTTTAGTTTTCGTTTTTTTTCTTGGCATTTGTGAGGCAAATGCAAAATGTGGCAAACAAATTTTTGTATTTATTTTTTGAAAGCATTGCATAAGCGTCTTAACAGCCGCATGCAGATAATAAATATTTCGGTTAGTGTTTACATTTGTTCATCAATTTAATTCAAGTGCCCAATGAGCATTCCATCTTAATTATAATTATAGGGTGAATGTGTGTATGTCTAGAATGTGTGCAACATACTGCAACATTTAATTTGTTCTCCATAATACTATTTATTTATTGTTTGTTTTAAACATGTTTTGAGTTTTAGTTTTTTGTTTTTGTTTTTCACTTTGCTTCGGATCTTTTCAATCCGCAACGTTTCACAATTTTAACAACAAATAAATAAAAATAATAACAGCAGTTAGCACAATCTACGCATCGTTTTTGAAATCAAATCAAAACGCACATTGCGCACACTTGCGCATAAATAAATAAATAGGTATTAACTAATAATTTGCTATTTCAAAAAGTACTGTTTGTTTCATTTACTCTTTCTTGAATTTGCACACAGCTACGCATTCTTTTCTTTTCATTCTATCCTTTTAAGGTTTGATTTGTGGACGGGTGTTTTTTGTTTTTTTGTTTTTCATTTACTTTTTGCATACGCACAACAAAAAAAAATAATAAATTGCAGTTTTAATTAGTTTGGCTTATTTCTTGGCATTGTTCAGGCCCAGTTCGCTGAGTATTTTCAGCGCATTGCCTGCAGCTGCATTCTGCGACTCCTCACAGACTTTACCAACACCATGACAGATTTGCGGCGGATTTGTGGAGAGCGTAACAATCGTTAGAAATTCGTTGTGATTACCCTTGGGATAGTCCGAAAAGTTGACCTGCAAAACAGTCACACAATATTAGCAGCAATTAACTTTTGTGCATGAGCAACTTACCTCGAAGTCCAACAATTTACTGAGGTAGAGTAACTGTTCTTTCAAATGCACACCACCACCACCGCCGCCGCCAGCCGCCCCGCCACCAACACCACCACCAGTGGCACCGCCATCGCCGCCACCATTGACATTGTTGCTGTTGCTGCTGGCGGGTGCATTGCTGCTATTGCTGCTTACGCCGCTTGTGTTGCTGCCCGTTGAAGTGTTCAAGCTGCTCTCATTGTTGGCCTCATTCACATTCGATTCGTTGCAAGTGTTGTTGCTGCTGCTGATTTCTTCTGTTGCTGTTGCAGTCATCATTGCATCCGTTTTGGCCTCCGTCTCTTTAGTTGACTCCACATTGGCTTTGACCACAATCACTGCATCCTTCTTTTTAGCTGCTGTTGATAATTATACAGCTGTAGACAACGCCGCAATCGATCTTCAAATATTAACTTACGTTTCTTGTTTTGGCGTAGTATTAAAATGCCTGGCACAGGACCTGCCGGCGTCGATACCATGGGCACATCGAGCGATGCATTTGACTCAATGGCTGCCGACACAGCAGCTGCGGCTGGCGACACATTTTGTTCCAATGAGTGCTCCACTTCTCCGCTGCTTTTTGGATCCGATGCCTCCAGCAGTTCGAGTAGGGCTGCGTATAAGGAATCCCATCATTAAGTAGCCATTCCAAATTAAAAAGAATTAGAACTCACCCTGAGCCGCATTGCGTTTTGCCAGTTTTTTGCTGTTGCCGGTGCCGCGAGCTATGTTGCCACTGGCGCAGACCTCTATGACGAACTCGCGACGTCGGGACGACTCATTGCCATTCTTAGCTATCAGCTCGAAGATAGGTTCCTTTTCCTTGCGCGTCTGCTGCAATTGTATAAGCTTCGTTATAGGATTCTCATCCTCATCCAGCTCCACAGCAGGCTTTTCCTTAACGGTCGCATTGAGACGCTTTCGTCGCTCTGGCTTGCCAAGTGGCGTTACAGCAGCACCGGCAATGCCTGCGATAGCTGCTGCTGCTGCATTTGCTGCGCTATTTTTGCCCGGCGTTTTCACCTTGATGCGCTTCATGGGCGTTTGTTTAGTGGGCGTAAGCGGCGGCAATTTCTGCAGCTCAATTAGCATCTTTTCGGCTGAACGCTTCTTGGATAACTTTTTGCCATTGCCCTCGCCCTCGGTGACTATGGCGCCAACAATGCATGCCGTGATGAAGTTTTTCATGTGTGCCGGCCCCTCCTCGCGCAGCACCTTGAAATGGACCGTCATATTGCGCCTGATGCCAATCTCGTGCACCTGTGATATGGGCGACTTTTTGTCATTTTCATCCATGGAATCATCCAGAGCATCATCTGCAACACTGCTCGCCTGCGTCTTGAGCACCTGCAGTGCACGCGCCGCTGCATCGTGCTTGGCCTGCTGTAAGGTGCGTCCGACGCCAACAAATTTCTGCTTGCCCACAAAAAGGGTTATCTTGCTGGGCGTAACCGGCAATGCAGGCACATAGGGTCCATGCGGACCGGGCAACATATGCGGAGTGAGCGTTGGCGACAGAGCAAAGCGCGACTGATATTTGGGCGCATAAGGACGCTGATGGCCATAGATGGCCCGCTGCGTCTGCAACGCAACATGATGATGCGGATGAATGGGCGGCGCTTGCAGCACATAACCCCCGGTCCCATTGCCATTGCGACGCACTGCGTATGGTGGCGGTGGCGGCGGTTGCGGCAAGCCTGCCGCTGGTGTAGGAAGCAACGATGCGGCATAGTCAGGCGGCAACATTGCATCTGCCGGTGGCATTTGTGTGGGATCCAGGACATAGTAGGTGCGCTGACCCAGCTTCATGGCCAGCGCATTCAGTTCAACGGTTGGTGTAATGTGCGTACGCGTTGAGTTTGTCTCATCGTTGCGGCGTATCTTGGGCGGCGGGTGCTTGTATTTGGTCTCCTCGATGGCTTTGGAGGCGGCCAAATGCTGAGCCTTCTTGATCTTAAAACCATCCGCCGAATACTCCTCTTCGCCCAGCTTTAACGTTACGGTAAAGGTCTTGCAATGCGCCGGACCGCGTTCGCCCGTCAAACGGTATTGATGTGTGATCTGTAATGGAGTTTATTGTATATATTCCAAGATATTTATCAGCATTTTGAGCTTACCTTATTGTATCTGGCCAACTCGTTAACTAGACACATGGGTGTCTTGTCTTTGGCACCGCGTGCCGAGCTACTGTCCTCATTGGACAGTGTGTCGCCAGCGTCTGCATGTTGCTCTGCGTTGCTGCTGCTGCTGCAATCCTCACTCTGCGGCGCCACCGGCAATGGCAGCGGCTCACAGTTGTCGGGTGTTAAGGCAGGCGGCAACTCACAGATCTCCTCGCTGGCAATGACTATGTTATCGCCATTGGTGCTCCTGCAGTTGCCAACAATACGCATTGTGGTGGGCAAGGAATGTTCGACTGGAGCTGTTGCTGGCACAACAGCAATTGTTGCTACCTCTACAGATGACACTGTGGGCTGTCCATTGCTCTTGGCAGAACGGTATGTGGTCTGTAGTATGGTTTTGGGTGCATGCGCGTAGCTGTTGCTGCTGCCGCTCCCGTTACTACTGTTGTTATTGTTGTTGTGATTGTTGTTGTTGTACTTGGGCTTGGCACTGCTGAGATAATAATGCGCCTGCTTGCCGCTTAACATCGTTGACGGCTGCTGTGCCGCATAACTGCCATAACTGGGCATATGAGGCGGCAGTTGGCTGTAGCTGATCGCTGCCGGATGATTGTAGGCCTGTTGCGGCGGTGGCGGCAATTGGTTACATTTTGTCAAATGACCATTGCTGTTGTTGAGATGCTGATGTTGTTGTCGTATCTTTTGCATTTGATTATTATTGTTGTTGCTATTGTTGTAGGCATTCGGTTGGAGCTGCTGCTGCTGATGATGTTGATGATGATGATGACTAAGCCTGCAATTGTATTAAAAAGAATATCTGAAATTAGTTTGAAAACACCAAAAGCATAATTTTGATCAAATTAAAGGTTTCTGTTACAAGATTTGAATTGTTTTAATCTGATTACAAATGCTTTTATTTCATTTCAAATATCCTGATGAATAATATATATACTATGAAGAAGCACACGCCTCCTTCATTACACATTCAGGGATCACATTATAATATCCACTGAAAAGGGATACATTAACGATTTTAGTTTAATTGACTATTATAATTTCTACGTTAAACAACTATTCATTTTTAAATACATTTTCTAATTCTGTTCACATAAATTAGGTGGCCGTCGAATCCCCTGAATCCCATAATAAACTTAGACGGCTCGAGCGCACACACAATGCAAAGCTAAGCACATAAACTGCCATATTGAGTGGCCATCGACAACAAAAAAAAAACAACAAAGCCAAACACGGTCAATGCCAGCGGCGGACGGTTCACCCTTTACGATATGCCCCTTGTTGCTGTTTGTTGCCTTTGCTGCTGTTGCTGCTGCTGTTGTTGTTGTTGTTGTTGCAGCAGCAAGAAACAACAGCGGTAAAGCTCAAACAATGGCAGAAATCCCTAACAAAGCACAAAAGCCGCATTCTTTTACGCATCGTGTCATTTTTCGCCAACTGTCAGTTTCAATTGAGACGCACCTACCGCACACCAAACACCCAAAAGATATAGATAGAGAAGAGGTGGCAGGAGCAGGGGAAGGGTGCAGAAGCTACACTTGGAAATCCTTAAGATCCGTGTATGACCGCGTGTTAATTTATAATTATTAAAACTATTTAAACTGTCTGGGCTTATCGGTTTAAATGGCAAGTTCTTCCAATCATTAAAATAGAGATTGGCTTTTAGGTCAATTTCTTTGTACAATATTATGAAATTCAGAAACTTTAACACCAAGGCACGTTTTCATTTTTCACTTTTGATTTTTTTCAATTGTCATTTCATATTTAATTTGAACATCAAGATTATTGAGATAATTAATGATTCTATTAACACTTTTGTAAGGGGAATTTTATATTAGTAGAACGAACTTTTCGTACACGACTTTAATTAACTGATAATGAATTTGAATGGACTAATTTTTTTAAAAAGAGATTTTTTTTCATTTAATTTGAATTGAATTTTAGCTATAATCCAGTTTAGATAGGTTTTTGAAATAAATATCTTTCTTTCGATTTCACATTTGAAACTTCCCTTATATAGAGAATTTTTGATTACTCTTTGGAAAACGAATTCATGTTTCACAATTTAGCAATATTATGAAATTAAGAATATTGTACACATCCAAGCAACTTATTTCGATTATCACCATCAATTATAATTAAAACTTTTCAAAGGGACTTTCTTAAATTTGATCTAACACAGCTCATAGCTCACTTTGTAATGCAGAAAGTTGGCATTTAGTTTTAAATAATGCTCGCATCTTCACCTGTCACCAATAATTTACATGCTTTCGCGAAATAAAGTAAAGTTTCAACAACACTCGGATGCGGATGCGAAATGCGGCGCGAGTGTGAGGCCAAAGGCGACTGAAGAGCAACTGGCTGGTGCTGGTTGGTAAAGGCAAACAGTTCGCTTGGAGCTGGAGCTGAGCGGGCATAGAAACATCTGATCGCACAAGGGCGACACAAACTGTGCTCAAGAGAGAACTGGCCGCACTGCGATCCTTACGAACGTCAAGGATAATTGCAGCCGCTGCTGAATATGTTGTTGCTCTTGCTGCTGTTGCTGCCGCTGCTGCTGCTGCTACTTTTAGCTGCAAACCCGTTATCGAGCGGAAGTCATGCTGTGCGCTAAAGAACAAAGAGCCACTGAAATTATAATTTATGAGTTGAGAAAATGGGATGATGAGTCTCACAGGCGATTGTCAGTGACAGGAATTAACATAATTGCCGCAACGTATAGAATAGAATAGAAGCCTAGACACGACGGCGTCTTCGCCTCTTCGCCCAATGAGGGGGTAACACCCCAAGCCAACAAACTATAACCATGATCTTTGAGCGCTCACCGTCCATGATGAACATCTCGCTGCGGCGGCGGCACCGATTGCTGCTGCTGCTGCTGTTGTTGTTGATGTTGCTGCTGTGTTGCAATTGATGCCGCTTGTGACAGTGCGCCCAAATGTTGCTCCATGCCGGGATGCGGCGGCATCGCAATGTGACTGTGATGATGTGGAGCGCGCAGATGGGGTGCTGCCCTGGCTGTATGCACATGATGCTGCTGCATGTTGCTTCCCGAGTCCGGTTGCTTATTGTGCAGCTGCAATAGGAACACATATGTATATGTATTTATATATGTATATAGATGGAGTAGTGGAGTGTTAACAATGCAAATATTTTTATTGGCTACACAATGCACACAAATGGGTGTCTTTTTGTCTTGCGATTGTGCGTGCATCGAGCGACATGCGAAATATATGTAAACTGCATTTAAATGCAGCCAGCCCGACAGACGTGCCTAAATCAAATTGTGACAGGCGATAGAGCGATATAGAAAGAGACAGAGAGAGAGAGAGAGAAAGAGAGAGAGAGGGAGAGAAGGAGAAAGAGGGACCCAGAGAGTGATTGGAACTTGGAAAGGGGCGCATGGAAGCAACCACCACAGAAGCAACAGTAAAAGGCAAAAATGTGCATTCGACATAGCTCAACAGTTCTACCCTCCTCTTAATAAATGTTCATGTTGCACTTTTCTAGTTTCTTAGCTGTTTTCTTTTTTTTTTTTTGTGGTTGTTTTGCTGCTGAAATTCGATGAAATGCAGCTGCATTTCAGCTTTTGATATAATCAGGTTCTCAACTGTTCGCATCTTGTGCGTCGTGCATTGAACTGTGCGTATCTGTATCTGTATCTGAATCTATCTGTCTATCTATATGTTGGTCTGATGATCCCCGTTGGACGACGCCACTGCGGCACGTATGGCATAACAGTCTCATACTTGCATTTGTATTGATGCCACAACGGCGCACTTACCTTAGTCAGTCTCTTCTTCTTATTCTTGTTGCAGCTCGCAAAGCGAATTTATTTTCGTACTTTAGTTCGTATGCAGAAGGGCAAACGCTGCAATGAGAACACACATTTAGCGATTCCAAATGCACACGTATATGGGACTGAGACTGGGACTTCTTCAACAACACCCAGCAGCTGAAGGCGCAATTATGAAAAACAACGGCAACAACGACAACAACAACGTCAACGACTACGATGATGGATGCGATGGCAACCTTTTTATAAGCTGCGTTTTTCTGCAAGTTGGGTTACACTTTAGAACTACTTTAACACTTAAATTAAGTTGATGAACGTTTAGGGCTAGGTTTTAACTTTAGTCTAGCATTGTTATTGTTATGTATTATAATTTATTAACGTGCGGCCGTATTTTGCACTGTGGCTGTGGATGAAACTCGAAAAATAATAATGGCTTTTAGGCAAAACGGGAAGCGGGGTGTGTGTCGCGTTCTAGTGTTGAAAAGCATGTCGTCTTACGCGATTTAGTGTTGTGAAGTTACTTTATCAATGTAATTTAACAGTTTCAGTTGCATTTGATTGAAGAGCGGGAATGTTTGCTTTTTTCTATAAAGAGTTAGACATAAATAATAGAATTAATTAATCAAACGCGTACTCCAAGTTGTGTTTCCGAATGCAGACAGCATCCGCTGCTTCCCCGTGATGGATATTTTTAGCACAATTGACAGAGATAGTCACAAAATTTAAGCTAATGTTATTAATGAAAGTCAAATCCGGAATCACCCTATAGACATTCAAAACCAGGCACACTCTGAGCATATTTTGCTGAGAGTTACCAGAAGCACAAGTTGGAATTCTAAGCTTGGCATAGATTTTATAAATTTTGAAAATGACCCCAACAGCAATATATGTTTCTGTTGTGAAACGCAATTGTTATCGTTAGGGAGACCAGAGTTTGATATTTTGGTATTTCACAATGAGTACCTTAACAGCTGTTCAAGCAATCAACCAGTTAAAATGGCTGCTGCAGCTTCATAAATCATTCATTGTTATAGATAATCTTTAAGTGCATTGTAAATAGCAAAGAATTTGACGCTGCATAAATCACCATTCCAGCCGCACAATTAGCATTCCAGTTCAACGTAATTTCAACAAAAATTACATGAGCAACCATGACGCGGACCAGCAGCAACAACAACAACAGCGTTTTACATAGCTGCTATTTTTGCCTGGCGATTTGCATCCTCTTCAATCTGGTTACGTCTGCAGCGGTGACTGAGGTGATTATTGTCTGCTAATAGCATACAAATAAAGTCCCCATCCCATTGCGGGAAGCAACATATGTTTTAGATGTTGTTTAAATGAGTACACAGATGTTTTGCATATTGATTTTGTTGTCTGACGTCAAACGCATACAGCCATACGGAAGTATAGGTGTGCGTGCATGCTTGTGTGCTTGTGTGTGTGTTCGCATTGAAATTTATGCTCCCGTGGCAAATTTGAAATCTACATATAAGCATATTAAATACGCCAATATTTGTAATGCAAACAATTCACAGAATCAAAGTGCTCAACGCTATGTGCAATATGTCGGCAACGGTAACAATGAACGGCTTCAGCAAATGCTGAAAGGTGTTGGAGCAGCTGAAATCAATTGGCCTCAAGGCGCCAAGCAAGAAGTGACAGATGTGAAGACTGAGCTAGCCAAACTTAATACGAGTGAGTGCGAATAAATACCCTGTTAAGATGCCTCCTATAAATTTTCCTCTATTCTATATGAAGCTCTCAATTCATAGTTTTTAAATGCACATATTTTTTATAATATATTTATTTATATTTATAATATATTTAATTGCAGCATATGTTTACCAGAACGCCTGGCCGGCAAATAGTGTCAAATTGGGCGCTGTTACTGCGGTTAGTTTCGACCGGGCTGGTAATGTGGTCATATTCCACAGAGTGGATCGCATCTGGAATCAGATGACATTCGACCGTTCAAATGTGTACCAGGAGCGTAACAGGGGTGCCATTATGGATAACACTGTGCTGGGCCTCGAGCCTGAGACTGGCAAGGTGCTGTACGAATGGGGTAAAAACATGTAAGCGAAATCTATTGCATTTAATTCCATTTAAGTGGTTAATTTGAAATTCCTTTTGCTTACAGCTTTTACATGCCCCACGGCTTGAGCATCGATCCCGAGGATAATGTGTGGGTGACCGATGTCGCCTTGCATCAGGTATTCAAATTCCCACCGCGTGGCGAAGGCGGCAAACCACTGCTGACACTAGGTAATGCCTTTCATCCAGGCGTTGGCAAAAATAAGTTCTGCAAACCCACCGCAGTGGCTGTGCTTAACAACGGTGATTTCTTTGTCGCCGACGGCTATTGCAATGCACGCATTTTGAAATACTCCAAGGAGGGCAAACAGATACTTTCCTGGGGACAGAATTCGTTTGCTGGTCGCTCTTATGACGTTGCACTCCCCAATTTCTTCGCAATACCACATGCTCTTACCCTGGTGCCTGAACTGGATCTGCTGTGCGCCGCCGATCGTGAGAATGGACGCGTGCAGTGCTTTCTTTCAAACAATGGCTCCTTTCACTCGCAATACCATAATCAGCTCATTGGTGATCGTCTGTTCAGCATGGCATACACGCCAGCTGCTGGTGAGTATTGCTAATCCGCTGGATCGAACTGTGTATAGATAAATGCTTGCATTTGTTAGGTGGTCAGCTGGTGATTGTGAATGGCCCCACCGCCGAAATGGGTATAGCACCACAACACTACAACGAAGTGCATGGCTTTGTGATGAGCATGCGCACCCGCCAACTTGTATCTAAGTTCGGCCCGAATAATCTACAATTTGAGAATCCACACGATGTGGCAGTCACCGAAGATGGCAATGCAATCTATGTCGCTGAACTGAATCCGATGCGCATACACAAATTTCTGCATAAATCGCTGGCCAAGCCAATGTCATTGTCCGCGTCGAAGGTTGATGCAGCAGCCCCTCTGCCAATGGTGTCTGAAGCGTCTGCCAGTGTGGATGCGACACAGACACATCACCATCCCAGCGGCAAGGCCATATTGGTGGCATCGCTCATGCTGGTCTTTGCCGGCTCCACATTTGCACTGGCGCTGATTATGGCGCATCGACGCAAACGAGGTAATCGAGCGATCAGCGCAACGCCGCCTAGCGATTTGGTCTATCGAAAGCTGGCCGCGTCCAATCAAAGTCTGTGTTAACAATTCCACTACACACCACACACAACTTACACTCACACTCCAGTTCCATTTTGTAGTTGTCTTAAGTTGAATTTGGTGATTCCTTTTGCATTGCTCCCTGTTGGACTGCTGACAGGAGTGTGCATTGCTGATCTTGCTGATTTTGTAATCTCATTTTTTTGTGTGCAACTATCTACAACATTTATACATACATATATTTTTTATACAAAATACATACACAAATCTTTACAATTTATGAATTAACATACACTTAAGTGTCTTTTGTTTTTTTCGTTTCGTTTCGATTTGCAGCGCATGAATGAATATTCACAATTAAAACTCGCATGTGACAGTGTCGACTGCATGTCCTGTACATATATGTATATAATCCTTATTATATAAAACATGTATATATGTTCGTTGTTGTTTCTGTGTGTTTTGTGTTTTTTCGTATTAAACTGTTATTTGGTGCGGTTTCAACAGGTTGCCTGCTATTTGGTACACACAATCGCCGGCATGCCTGGGAGAAGACCGAGGGCTTCAAGCTGGGCGGCCTGATCGATCGTAATGGGTTCGAGAAGCTTGATCAGAATGCCAGCGATGAGGAGCAGGAACAGGAGACGACAACGATCTCGCAGTATGCCTAGGCGCTAGCCACACACACCTGGACCAAGAGACTTATCTATTTTGTAAAGCCAACAGAGCTAACATTCCTAGTTATAGTTCGAAATACCTCTGTGAATTTTACTTACGTTTTACGATTTTATTTATTTTTATTTTTTATACTTTACTAATGTGACTATGTGCATTCTATTTCTGACCATTCCACATCGTCTACGGTTGCCATATTTAAGACAATTGCTTTAAGTACACAATATATACATATTTATGTGCAATTATTTAAAACACCAATCGAACTGAATTACGTTTCTTGTCGTTGTTAATGTATTTCTTCGTTTGTTGTCTGAGTTGATAAATATTAACTACATTTCGGATTCGGTATAAATATATATTGCAACTTATCCTCTAATAAGGCCCCTGTGTGGCAATTAACCCGCTAAGGATTAGCGCATCTATATGCGAAGTATATAAAATATTCGGTCGTATATTCATCGGACATTTAGACGACCTGCGCTAAAAATCCTTCGTTTTCCTCCGTGACTATTGCATCAATATTGTAGAAAACTGCATGCATGAAAATTACAAAGCAGGAAGCGCCCAATGTCCAAAACAGCACAGCCCCAGCTCCCACTAGGAAGAGCAGCGGCGCCGCCCCCAAATGCAGGCCAATAATTTGCTGCTTTGGCGTTACCGTATGTCCCATGATCGTTAAATTTCTATTCGAAGAGCGTATTCTGTGAGCTCCGTATGCCACAGCGGCTAAGACCAGCAGAGTAAGCGGTGATGTAATACTGAAAGAAAAGCCAAGTGTTACAGCAGCTGTTGCAACAGAGAAATCTTATTTACACTTACAGACAGTAGATCATCAGCACAATAAATACGAATATGTAGTTGCTTTGGAAATATGATAAATTGTGCATGACACGATTCTTGAGGCGTTGCATGCTAACTGCGCTCTTGAAGTTGCTAATGTTGAAGAACACAGTCCACGGACGCAACGAGAGTCGCACCATTTGTATCAACTCCATGGGTGAGGGCAAGCTTTGCAGGCTGTAATCAACAATGAGGACTTTAGTGACCAATTGCGATTAAGTTTCAATTTCAGGCAAACGCACCTTTGCAGATCGAAGCCGAATTTTGTCTGACCACCGGTTGGACGTGGCGGCGGCATTTGCATCTCGCCGCTGACATCAATGCTTGTTTCTGCCATTGGAGGTGTTGAAAATCGCTGACACGTCGGTTAATTTTTGGATTACTTGTCAACTTATTGGCCTTCAGCTGTGCAGCTTATTTTCTTCTACGCGGCTCCGGTTCCGATTGATAAATGCTTTTTTTTTTTTTTTGCTTATCGACAACGGATGCTGCAAAATGATCTGACGTGTTCAACTATTGAAGACTTCTATTTGTTTTGCATTGGATGCAGTTGCAACTGTAGTCATACAAAGGAGCACTACAACTTACGCTTAATACATTCTAATAATTTATTTAAACAAATGTTTTTGCCTGATCTAATGTTATTGTTTGAACACACAACAAAAAACAACTTACTCTGATGTGGCAAAATCACAAGCTTGACAACTCTAGGCTAGACAACAGAAGCAGCGACAGCTCTGTTCAAAACAGCTGTGCCGAACTTGTTCAACACTGTTGCAAAGCTGCGCGCCCAATATTTATATTTAAAACAAACATTTAAAGCAAACGATGCTGTCCGTGGATAAGGGAATAAAATAAATGCAAGTTGTGTGTTTTTTTTCGAGGTCTCTGTTCACATTTTGTATGTAGAATAAACACCAGTTTTAATGGTTTTTGTATTTGTAGCAGTTTCAAAACGATGTGTAGGAGACCTCGCATATATATTTTATATTTATAACTGTATAGCAATACATATATATTTCATATAAGATTTTCATTAAATTCATTGTTAAACTGTAGCATATACGTACATCAATATATATGTAAATACATTTATAATAATATTTTGATTCATTTCAATGCGTATTTCATTTTTTTAGTTTAGCTTTTTGGCTGTATTTTGTGTTTTCCTCTTATGTATATTATATAATCACATCTATAGATTTTTTTTTATGAATATTTGTCTTAGTTTTTTTCATTTATTGTTTTTACACTGAAACACATTTAAGTATATGTTTATTCGTAGACATGCTAATGCACAATAATAAATATCATGAATATTTAATGACATCAATGAGTAACTCTTGAAAACTCGTCAAACTACATGTTTGATTTGAAGAAAACAACAAAAACAGCAAGCCTTGCGGCTAAGTGTGTACAGTAAATTGTTTAAGATATCGTTCGAGAACGAAGGAATTTAGCTCGATTTACTTATGTTGATCTTAGAGAATCTCGGGAAAATGTATCTGTTAGGGCTCTATTAAATGTTTAAAATAGTTTTTAAAAAAAAAGATTTATCAAGTTCCGATATCATATACATATATGTGTTTTTAGATATTAAATTGATTTTTTATAATATTTATGATATTTTTCACATATTTACGCCTGCGTTTGCATTTCCGCTTCTAAAATATGTTGTTTATGTTGATCTTGCCTAAGTCTCGAACGAATTCAATGGGCGGCATCTAAAAGATCTATATCTGCTAAATAGCTGCCTGTGTGAGTTGCTTGGGATTTATAAATGTATATATATATATATATATATATATATATCTTAATGCTTCTTTCTCTTAGTTGGCGAGCTGTTCACATAATAACTGTTAATACATTTAAGAATATACTAATATATGAAGATTTTGATTATTTAATGCTTTACTTTGTATATCCTTTCAGTTAAGAAGCTTGTTCGCACAAATATCAATACATGAATATATACGTGCTGTTCAAAAACACTGTTTTCCACACTCAAAAAACGAACATTTAGATAGATTCGGAGCTAAATACAATCTGGTGCCTGCTGCTATATGGAAAATTAATAAATATCTTGGTATATCTTGGTTATCTTGTAGCTTAAAAAACGCATCTTTTCATTTAGCATTTAAGTGTTTTGTTTTTTCTGTTTAGGTCTCTGGTTGAACTGTTGCATTTTTATGCATTTTGTTTGGCAACAGCAAAATGTATCCAAATATTCTAACTGAAAATCTTCTTCTTTTTTTTGTTTTCTTGTTTGTGTTATATAAGTGTGTCTATATATATTTTGAATCAAATATTTGATTTGCTAGTTCAGCAAAATTTCTTTGGTTTTTTTTTTTTAGGTTTTTTAGTATCTTTGTAGTTTTCTTTTTTAACGCACACAAAAGGACGTTAAGAAATGTTTCTTTTGGCTTAGGTGATTGGGTGATTCGGTGCTTAGGTGCTTAGGTGCTTTAGCCAATCGCTTATAGCCCAATCTCGCGCATGGCCCTATACAAGCAGGGATTCTTCAAGCACTCACGCGGTCCCAACTGTCGTCCCGGGGTGCCACGCAATATCATCAGCACGGATCGAGCAGATGCTTGGCAATCGTTGCTGCTGCCACAGATTGTGTCCGCTTCGGCCAGATACTGATAGTCGCAGGCCACCTGTGAGGCGCCCTATACCAAAAAGAAGAAAAAGAGATCCCGAAAATATTTGTACGGAAATCAATTATAGTTTTGATTGTTCACAACTTACACAGAGATAACAAATTTGATGGACGCCACAAAGGGGCATTAGCTCCTGGTTGAGATCACCAGAGATTAGATCAACGCTGCGACAACGCTCTGCCATGGATTCAATAATGGGACACTGATTGGAGCCAATGATGTAGTTCTTATTGCCCAGATAGGCATCGTTGAGCGTCTCGTAGGGTGCGCTGTTCATGCTCAATGCTTCCTCCATGGTATTGGGCTGCTCCGGATATCTCATATAGCCGCTGCGCTTTTTCTTCGACTGCTGCGGATTGCTGTCATCTCTGGCAAGTGAGTGTATAAGTAGTAAGGTCCAAATTTGAATGAGCTGCACTTACTCTGCCTGATCCTCGGCCTGCTCCTTCTTGACGCTAAATCGCTTCTTGGCTGGCCAGCGCTCATCCAATGAGTTCTCCTCCGATTCCGGTTCGATGACATTGCGCAATAGATGGTTCTCAGCATCGACCGACTGGCGTAGCTTGTCCAGTGCACGACGCATCTTCTCCAGACTGTACGCAGTGGCTAGTCGGGAAAGGACATGCTCCTTCAGCTTGCGTATCTCATCCTGATTCTTGATGCCCTCATGCGCGCCTGTATACTTGATGGTCTCATCAATGATGAAATCCTCTATGGATTGCAACTTCTTGTCCATGCTCTCCAGCTTCTCTGGATCAATGTCTCGTTTCTTCTTTTGCATCTCTTCGTTCTGATCATCATCATTGTTGCTATCGTCATCAGTGCTACGCTTCTTTGATTCGCCACTGAAATAATTGAACCAAGAGATAAATTAATTTTATTCTTTTAATAAAGAAAAATACAATAATTATCCGAATGCATTTGAAATTGCTATTCCAATATTTGGCTGCTGTTATTTGAATGTTCCACTTACTCGGACAACTGCTCAGATTTCTTTTTGCGATCGAGTCCAAAGTATTGGGACCAGTCGATGGATTTCTTGGCGCGCAGCATCAGATGACCGACACTTGGGCCATGCATATGCTTGGAGCTGGCGGCGCGTTTCTTCTTGCGTCGCTTCTCGCCCGCATCGCCCTCGCCCTCGCCGTCGTTCTCACCCTCCTCATCCTCGTCAAATTCATCATGATCATCCTCGTCGGAGCTTTCCTCACCCTCGCCCTCGCCATCGTGCTCATCATGCTCGCCATATTCCTCGTCAGAGTGATGCTCGCTGCGCTTGCGATGGTGTCCACCATGTCCGTGCATTACCATCTCACCAGTGCCGGCTGCCTTTGGTGGCGTTTGCGTTTGAGCCTCCTTCGCGACTCCATTGGTGACATTCACGCGCTGAAAGTTGATCTCCAGACGCATATCACCCAAAGCTGTGGCCGTGGCTGCCGTTTCTGGTAGATGTGTTGTGGGCGCCGGCTTTAGCTGCTCCTCTGTTGAACGTTTCTTCTTCTCCTCGGACTGCTGCTGCTCAACAGGCTTGCCAAACAACTCGCTCAACTCCTGGGCCACTCGCTCGTCAGTCTTGGCCAATGGAGATTCACCCGCTGCCCGCTTCGCTACAGGGAAGCGCTTCTTCTTGTCACTATTATAGGGCAGCCAGGGCAGCACCGGATACGAGCGTTTCTTCTGCATTAGCAGATAATATGGTGGCATGCGCATACGTTTCTTCTGCTCGAAGAGCTGCTGCTCCTCCAGCTCCTCATCTCCATTGTGGTTGTTGTTGTTAGCGTTGGTGTTTAGCTCGTTCTCTTGCTGCTGATACTTTTCCCACAGCTGACGCAATGCGGCCTTGTAACGCTCCTGTCGCTCATGCTCGCTGGCCTCCTCAATCTCGCGCAGAAACTGCTCCGTCAGCTCACTGTGCGTTGGCTCACCAGCACCGAGATTCTCACGTTCACGGAATGCAGATACAGCGCCCGGACCTGTCTCTGCAATACACCAAAGTTTGTGTCATGACTTTGACCTTATAACACTAAATCACTTGTGAGGCGACAGGTTGCTCTAACGGGCAGCAAGGCATCCAGGCAAACTTGTGCCTTGACTACATAATCAAATTACGCATATGTAAATAATATACTCTGTACGCAAAAATGTCTAAAAGGGGTATAATGCAGATGTGCTAATATTAAGAAAGGGCTTTTATATGTGTATATGTATTTATATGATTTTTACACACATTTAAAATCGCATGAAGTTTATACTATGCACTCACTCAAAAAGGTTTCCTTTTTAGGTGGAATACACACAATTTTCAGTTATAACGAATTAAAAAAAAAAATCCATATTTTTCATAAAATTCTTTATTAAATAGTAAAAAAGCTAAATGCATTTTTATGTTGTGCTACTAGATATGTGCTTGATAAACAGTTTTAACAGGTGAACTCAAATGTAATAAATTTTGAATCGTTCCATGAGAAGAATAAGTTGATATTTTTAAGCTGACATTTAATGCACGAGGTTTTATACCATATGAAAAAGTCTCTAAGTGAGTTAATCTCGTCTAGAAAACACTAACTTGCTTGTGTGTTGAGTATGTATGTGTGTGTGTTTGTATACGACTTATAGGCACGCATCAAGTTGTTGGCGACCTTTCAAGCACAGACGCACAGCCTCGCAGCCATTAAATCAAATGACAGGAAGACAGGCAGGAAGCTTGGACTCGCTTCCAGCTCGTTGCATTTATCATCCGAATAAGAGTTGAGCCAAAGTCCAAAATCCACACACACACACACACACTCAAAAACCAAACTCCCACATAAAAGCTCAAGTTAATCCGAGCTAAGTGGTTTTAGCTTGAAAGCGAGAAAAGCATTGTTATCCCAATCCATTTTGGGGCACTCAAGTGGACACACATCTAGTATGTATGCATGTATGTGTGTGGAATATGCCCAATGCCAAAATCACTGTGGTTAGATGTGTTACTAGAGTGGTTAGTTACTCACCGTATTGCTGCTCGTCACGTTCCCTAAAGGGCGACGATGAGCGCTTACGCTTCTCATCCACAAATAGATTACTGGGATTCGTTTGCTGCTGCTCGCGTTCATCATCGAACTCATAACCACTGAATGGGGGTCCGCCTAGGTCTGTCCCATAGTTCTCATTCTCGCGCTCTAAGTATTTGGCAAGTGCTTTATTTATTCTATGGCGATTCCGATTCTTATACTTGTTGCCGGTGCCGGTGCCAAATAAATCGCTATCTGCAATTGTGCACAGAGAAACAGAAAAACCAGAACAAAAAAAAAAAAAAAACACGTGAAATGTGAAAATTAAGTGTACATGATGCGGGGAGCAAAGAGTGTGGGTTATTCTCTATGTGTGTGTGAGTGTGTGTGTGTTTGTGTAGTGAGGGGGCGACAGGCACGTGCTCTGTTACATGCGGGTCTCAGCTGATGTTGCGTCTATCTGTCTATCTGCCTACTCGCTCTTTCTCTCTCTTTCACTATTAGTTACAGATTGGCTTTCAGCTTTCCTGCAGCTGACAAACGTCCTGCCCTGCCCAGCCTTCCCCTGCCCTGCCCTACCCTGCGGTACTCTGTCCTGCCTGGTTCTGGCCTGACCTTTCAGAATAACGTGCTTCAGCCACGTAATTGTGCTTTTGACTTAAATTTTAAGAATGCCATCACATAAGTCTCAAATCAAATATCTGGTTGCACAAAACCTGGCATTATTTTATATAATATTTATTGTGTAATGAAAAATTAAGGTTTAGAGTGAATAAATTCATACATTAAATACTCAGACGTGAGCTTCATTAAAGTCACAATAATAATTGTTGGCCTTACTTCAATTAAGATTTATAATTGAATATAAATAAGAGATTTTTCTTTATATTTATATATATATGTATCTTTCTCTGAAATTGCTCTCTCAATCTTCTATTTCAAACTCGCTCGTTCTTCTTCAGTTACAATCGTTATCAGTTACTCTCTCCAAATTATTTTTACTTTCGAATTCTGTATTGCTCCTGTTGCTTTCCCTACAACTTTCGCTTCTTTTTTATGTTATTTTTCTAGAACATCATCTTTTTTTACTCTTACATTTTCTTATACAGAAGTTAGCATCATAAAAGAAACATAAATGCTTATGCATAATATAAATAAAGTTATTTAGTAAAGTGAATCTCTGCTCTTGCTTTTCTATATGTGTGCAATTCAAATATTGTGTTCTATATAAACAGTAAATGCATTGAATATTAATTCATTAGTGCTGCTAAAGAGTCTCAATTGGATTAAATTGGCGTGATCAATTAATAGAGGATTAATAAATTAGTGCTTAACAAGTGCAGTTTCCTTATGTCCAAATCCTCTCAAATAGTCACTTTATAAATCCCAGTAGTCTATTTCCCAGCTCAAAGGCAATGCCCATTATTCAACTGTTTAACCAAGTACCATTCAGGTGTTCAGTTGAACAGCCCTCAATTGCAGCAGCTGGCAGTAAATAGTCCAAGCGCTGTCAATGCCACACTTACCTTCGTCCCAATCGTCCAGTTGTTTCGCAGCAAAGTGGGCCGAGGGGGGCGGTGCATTCAATGGGTACTTGGCAGCCTCGCGACGATGCAGCTCATCGACTGCCGCCTGTAGTGAGTAGGCGGCGCGTTGTGGCGTCGCCTGGACTGAGGCCAGGACAATGGTGAAAAGACCCAGAAGGGCAACAACATCAACAAATTGGCCACCCATCGCAGCTGCTGCTTAAAACTTGTTTGCTGCTGGCTGAGATGCGTTCAAATGAGGCTGTGTTGGGTGGGTGGCATTAAAGAGCAAAAGGATAAGCGCATTAATAAAATGTTATGCACGGCACGTTTCACGTTTGCATAAGTCAGAAGAATCCCCAGGCAAACTTTTAATTACATTTACACCTTAAAGCTGGTGTGTGTTGTGCCAGATTTCAGATTTTTAGTACAGGTTCATTGTCGTTTGGCTGTAAGCAATTCATTATGCTCGTCTAATGAAGTGTATGACATTCCAAATGACTTTTGTACAGTGGTTAACCAAGGGCAAAGACTTACTAATTGGAATAACTCAGAAATCAGATGCCATGAAAACAAAATAACAAAATCAAGAAAAATTATTTAGTTCACTTTTGACTTTTACCCCATTTTAAGAGTTGCGCTTTGAAACTTGTATATGCAATACATTAAATTATGAAGTAATACATATTTCATGCTTTGAATTTTTAGCAATTCGAATTACATTTGGAAAGCTTGCCAAGTGCTCGAAATTTGCTAGGAACCAGAGTACATAAATATGTATAAGAGAATGTGTTTCGTGTGCTCTACAAATATATGCAATATGAGAATTTGTGTGGTATTTTGCGCATAGCTATGTAAATTGTGGAGCAGCACTCAAAGGCATTTCAATTATTTCCCCATCTGAACTACTAATGAACTGTTGACGCTATGGATTGCTGCCTGACTGACTGACTGACTGACTGACTGTCAGATCAATCAATGAAATTCCAATGTGTGTGAATATCTAAGCACGGAGCAGGTCTTGTCAGCATTCCTGCCAGTTGGCGTTTTTGACAATTATGTTCCTGCAGTAAAGATGCCAATGATGAACATTTCCGGCATGCTTTTTATTATGGCGCACATAAGTATGCTATGGCTGTCATTAGGAATGGAATGCGCACAGCAACAGCAAAAGCAAAAGCAAAAGCATCGAATTACGTGTACATGGCGTATGCGTAACATACAATTTACCACTTTACTGGCTCACGCCTTATGTTTTCTGCCTGTTGCTCTGCGGTCTCCTTATGCCAGCGAAGATAGGTTCATACACCCATAGTTTATCGAATATGTAAAACAAGCCATACACACACATCCAGCCCCCAGCAACATTTGCCTTTCATTTTGCGTTGGAGCCGCTGATAGCCATAGACTTGAAGCGCCATTAAATGTCAAGGCAGCTGCTATACGTTCCAGTTTGTATTCCACACACAACCCGTCGCCCCAAATCGTCTCGTCTGCCCTGCAGCTGTTGTTGTTTTTAGCTGCTGTCTTTTGTTATTGTTATTATTATAATAATATTATTGCTGCTTGGTTGCATCCGGTCTAAGCTGAATAAGTACGTATCTTCTACGTCTTAGACAGCAGAAATCTTCAGCTACCAAGTTCGCAGTAGCATAACATTAATTTAGTTTGTGTTTAAGCCCTTAAGGCAAAATAAATTAATAATCGTATAAAAAACTTGAATACAAAATTAATATATACGGAAATTAATTTTTCTTATGCTCCACAAAATGATTTCCGTTTCTCTATGCAAATCTATTTCAAATTCGATTTAGAGCCGCTTAAGTTTTAAATAAATGTGGGATACAGATTCAACTTTGAAACAATTAAAAGTTCACCATTAATTATAATGTCAAACTTGTACTGAGCAGAAGTATATTCTTCAACAAATTCAAAGCCTTAATTACTTAAACTTTGCTTGTTATTCTAAACAAATGCTTTAAAAGTTTGCTAATCATTTTGCGGTTACTGTTTTCCAACAATTTTCTTTTTTTGCAAGTTCTTTTAGGCGTAAGCGTAATATGAAAAAACAGATAAAAACTGAAGCTGTTGAATGTGACATCAATTGTGCCATCGACAGGACATAAGAGTATACATACATATTGTATAAGCATAAGTAATCGAGAAAAAGGACAAAATTGTTGCCTGTCTTGTTTTGTGCTGTCCATTAGTTGTCGCCTTTATATATATATATATATATATAAAGAGGATGTGACCGAGCCATCGTTGTGGTGCTGGGCAGGACATGCAAATTGGCTCATGCAGCAACAACATAATTACATTTTCATTTTTGGGGACCCAACGCATTTCCCAGGCAATCAAATTTTTGCGACAAATTCAATTGGTCGCTCAGATTGACTAGAATTATATACTAAGTGTATATATATGTATAATATAAATGTGTATATATGTATTTGGCCAGAGGCTGCTGGCGCTTGCAGATATGACTAATTAGGCGCCAAGCTGCTCTTCAATATTTAATTCACGGAACCTTTTCATTCGCCACACATTTTGGGGCCGCGCTTGTTACCCAACAGTTGAGTTCTTTGTGTGTGCGAGCTGTGTGATGACAGTGTCATAATATATTTAGAACCAGCGTCTTCGTAAAGGACAAAAGCGGCCTTTAATAATAAAGCCTATTATGAAACATTGAGACGTTGAGTGAGGCTCAAACTATACGCCATTCCCGCTGAATTATTGACACAACGCCCACGCTTACCACCAAACAAATCAATGGACGCCTTCAGCTCCTCTTGCGCGAATTTCCGACAACTGTTTCGTGAAAATTGCACTTTGCTTTCCTAACTTGTTTTTTCCGTCACTTTTCTTATGCTTTAATATTCACGCACACGGCAAAGCTGCCAAATTAAATATGTGTTGCAGTTGTTATTTCAGTTCTAGTTACGTTTTTATTTTGAGTTTATAACGGTGTGTGTCTGTGTGTGTGCGTGTATGTGTTATTTGACGACGGCAAATAAAAATGGTAGACACTTTTCACAACATGGCGTCACTCCTACGCCTTCTTTTGCTTCAAGGATAAGCGCTTGAACAACACTGCACCTGCCACAGTCAAGACGGAACCAAGAGTGACATCAAATGCGCGACGCTTCGTCAATTTATACTTTGCCAGCCAAGCACGAAAGGAAACGAACAATTCACACACACACATACACACACACACACATAAACAGTAGATATATGCTCAAAGTTCGCACGAAGCGACCACACCGAAGCGATGTACAGAGAGATAGAGAGAGAGAGAGAGAGAGAGAGAGAGAGAAGGAGAGCACCAAAGAGTATTTGCGAAGGGATAAGTGTATGCGTATGTAAAGCGACGAGTGGGCGAAGCTGTTGCTTGGAAAAAGCTCTTCTCTGCAGCTGTTATTGTTGCTTTTTGGTGTTATTTCAGACGGGTTGCTCGACTGCTTTCTTGTCGTATTTTACTCTTTCGAATTACCCACAGCAACAAAATTGCGATTGCATCTAAACAGATTCATTAAGGTGGAAAGAAACAAATTACTGTCTACACATCCACTTTGTGTGCTTCCCATCTTTGGCGTAGCATATACACTTATGTATGTGCAACCTTTTGAAGCAGAACTTTTAATGAAATCAAACTTATCAGCAGACATAAACTCATTAATTAGTCCAAACCTGAGTGCAGTGCAAAGGGCAGAACCAATAATTGCATTCTTTTATTGAGAATAGGACTAACTTATATAACTCATAGATTATTAGATTATCATGAGAAATTGTCAATTAATGATTGTATTTTCTCTAATTTAATCTTGCCCATAACTTTTTTCATTTTTGAAATCAATTTTTTCTTACTTATTTAGTTATAAAAGGTCTAAAGTATTATAATTTATTTATTTTGGCTCATCAAATGTTAAATCCATTTGTGGTTCATATATTGTTATGTCAAAAATGTAAGTCAATGGTAATATCATAAAACCCAAAAACTGAAAAATTCTTGATTTATATATATATATATATATGTATATATATACTTTGTTTGTCTCCTGCTGCCTTTAGTATAATACATGTTAAGAATTAAATTAAGAAACTATGCAAAAAAATTTAAAAGCTATAAATATGACACTTACCATATCCACAATAAATATCTTTTGCAAACTGAATAATATTACTGGAAAATATTTACACGAAAATGCAATTGACGCATCGAAAGCAAAATCACAGCTAGAACAGAACGATGCCAACGAGCAACTGAATTAAAGCTTTGAGTGCATTGCAGCTTGAGCTCGAATATTGCGCATGGGCAGGACTTAAGACGCACTGACTCTGAATGGAGTAGGTACATATGTACATAGGTAAGCATGGCAACAGAGCAGCTTTTTTGTCCCACCCCTGTTATTGTGCAAAACCGAACTGTTGCTTCGGGTGGTAGAGGCAGCAGCACCACCACCAGCTGTGCATCCACCCACCTGTTACATGAAATTCATTCGGCAATTACTTCCGCATTCGGGCCTTATGCGACTCCCGGACCTACAGAGCAGCAGCAGCTCAATGCTGCATTAGGCAACGATTGCACATATTTATGTCGTTGAGCCCTGGACAAATAACATCGTCCGGGCCCAAAATACATGCAACTTCATTATTCTATTTGACGTCAAATCTTGTTTAGCGTGTCTGCAAATACACACACGCATATCCTTTGCTGTCGTCAAGTGATTGCAGTCATCAGGAAGCTGTCCAAAAGTACACATTTAAAAGTCTCAACGGAATCTTTCTCTTTGTGGTCGTCAAATACAATAAAAATAAATAAATGGAGATTGTGCAGAATAAAGCAGTCACAATTAAAACTGGACAGACCAAAATTCCAAAAATGCACATACCAATTAAGTGCAGAAAATATTGTAAAAACTATTGTCGCGCACCGATATCAATTTTAAATAAAGTCAAAGCTCTAATTATTATTATCTAATTATTGCAGTAATTATAACAGCATACTGGGCCTTCGCAAATCGCCAATTACAAATCTGAAATAACAACCTTTCCAAATTCTGCTTAGCCCAAGCGGAAAAAAATAAAAGAATACAAAAAATGTCCAAAATGATTGATTCTGAAAACCGAATACTTACTAATTTAAAAATTAACGTTCTAAATATTTTAAATATACCATTGAAAATAGGTAAGGCTATACATTATGTCCATTTTACATCAAATAGATCTTTCATTAAATAAACACACTAAAAACAACACAAAACCCAGCGTATACCGACAAGCTTTCCAAAACATCAAAGAAATTAATTCAGATCATAGATTTATTTATACGGATGCATCGAAAACCATCAGTTACACAACATTCGCAATAACAACGGAAAATTCAGTTCTGAGATATGGTCTTCTTCCAGAATACTCATCGGTACAATCGGCCGAAATGATCGCCATTCACGAGGCCCTCTTATTAGTTTGCAGCTCCAATGCGAAGCACACAATTTGTTCAGACTGCCTTCACGCTCTTATCGCCATCTCAAATCGACAAAATTGGAATTATTATCCCAGAAGAATTCGAACCATTCTCGCCAAACACAACAATAAATTAAAATTAATGTGGGTCCCGGGACATACTAAAATAAAGGGCAACGAAATGGCGGATACAGCTGCCAAATTCGCATATTATCTGCCACTAGTCTGTACAAATAATTTCAATCAAAATGATATTTACCACTTTTATAGGAAAAACTTTCTAAAAATGCAAATTGAACAATAATCAAACTGTAAATCCTTGTAATATATTGAATATATTGAAATCGATGTTAATTAGAAATATTCACTAACACCTACTTAAACACTGTAAACCACTCGTATTGATTTAAGAGTTTGCGAAGATGGGTGCTCGAACAAAAAGCGAATTCAAGTTGATTTGTTTAATCGATATTTCCATTTTATTCAAAAAATTAAGATTTTGCTTGAAACAAACTCGAATTTATATGATTTAGTTCGTTGATATGGAAATTTATTAGTTAATAAACTCAAAAGTTGTGAAGGAAATCGAATATAATTATATTTAAATTTTGAGACTATGTTTTTTTAATAAAGTGCTATTGAATTTTTTCGATTTATATTATTATTAGTTAACATATTCAAATAGCGGAAGCTCCGCTGTTTCAGCTCGTGAAACGTTAATCTGGATGTGAGTGAGACTTTTGGATTTTTTGTTGCGGCGGCAGTTTTTTACTAAACAAGTTTTAATGAACCACAGCAGCTTAAATATGTCCTGTAAAACGTTGATGAGAATAATGTAGCCCATTTGCACGAGACCCATGACACTAACGCCAATAAACAAGGCCAGTGCACCGCCAAAGGATACTGCAAGGATGGTTGCAATCAGGTGTGTGAAACATTTCTCTAAGTACAAACAGTGCTTACCAATCAGATCCTCAAAGCTAAAGACCACATCTCGCCGGAAACGCACCTTGGGCGGTATCAGATCCCAACGGAAACTAGATGTGGCCGTTTCAATGCTCGTCGCCTCTTCGTTGCTCTTCATGCCCCAGGAGCTCTTCTTCACTGTCTGCATGGTGTACTCGATTTCGGTGCAGGTTGAGGGGCACTTGCAAATGTGTAACGCCCAAATGGGCCATTTAAAATCTAGCAGGCATTCGAAGCCAGCCGGATTACAGCTGGGCCCAGGCACAAACGGATAGAAGAAGGGCACACAATTGCACATTTCCAAAGACATAACTGCTCGACACCGAGCCAGACACAGTGATTTGCTGTATATCTGAAGGTTGAATGAACTTAAGGTCACTAATTATAAATTATAAATATGTATTTTGCGGGGGCATGCCTTGAGATTGGATGTTTCCTCATCATTGAAAACACACATGCGCTGTTCTACGCTTAATTCCCGCAGGTTCTTAGATGCTCTGCAAAAAGAGTGGAGTATCCAAATGAGAGTCACCATTCTGTTTTTGTGTGCTGCTACTTACACCGTCTCGAGCACCTTGAATGAGGCAGTTATCTCATCCGACTTGTGCAGCGCAACTATATTTGCTTCTGTTGCCGAAACCTCATACGGCGAGTGCACATCCAGCTGCATAAGGAATCAGATATACATATTTACATGTGATTACAAATTGAAAAATATCTGGGAATTTTTATAAAATATTGGTTAGAGTATTTTAACTTTAGATGGGGAAGGAATTTGCCTTGCCTAATTCAAGGAAAAAGCTGATGTAAGAATGGAAACATTTCTCTTAAGGAACATTATATATTTGCTTCATTTTTGTGATTGATAGCAAATATATTTAACAATGAAATGTTTCACATAAATATAATATAGGAGGCTTACCACGCCCGTGCTCTCATAGAGATCCATGCGTATATAGCACTGCTGCTTGCCAAACTGACAGGATAGCGGTGGAGGCAAGTCCTCAAACTGCACTGAAACTCTGAAACACACAAAAAAAAAACGTATTTTTTGTCTGTTTTATGATTTAGCACCTTAGCCAGATTTCGACATTCAAAACTCTCTATTTGATATATACATAAGTGCATGAATTCACTAATAATCTACTCACTCTTTGCCCAACACTGCCGACATGGGCGAGTTGATGGCATAGCAGGATCCGCGCTCCGTCATGACCATCTGGACATGCACTTTGAAGTTGGCATCAAAGCTGCTAATCACTTGATCGAATGGCCGATTTATGGCTAGTATTACATCATACAGATTTATATCATCGAACCGCTCGTCGCTGGAGAACTTGGTTATCTCAGCGTAGTTGCTGACAGTGGCATTTACCACGGCATAGAGAAAGTCCATGATGTAAAAGTAATCCTCATCGATTATGGACACGTTCCATTCCTCCTGTATCACCTCATTGGCCTTAAACGAATCGATATGGTCATAGTAGCATAGTGTCACCGCCGGCAGAGAACCGTTCCAACCACGATAGTCACGATCCACCGAAATGACCGTGGGCGAGGTAAAATATCGTGCTATCTGCATCTGGCTGAGCATATAGACCGTACAAATGCTGCCCAGCAGCACAATCATCCAGAGCAATCTTTAACAAATTTCCAAAGGGTTGCGAGTAAAGATTTATATATCGCTAGATGTGGAACGCTAAGAAAGATACTTCTTAATCGTGCCCATTGAGTATACATACAGATACAAATGCAGTCAAAATAATAAAAATATTTATTTCTGTTACGACACTTGGTTCAAATAGTCCCCAACAGAACATAAATACAAGAGAAAAAAAACTTTTAAATGATATATTAAAGAGTAAAAATCTCAAAGGAATCGAAGAGAATTTTAAAGGAAGGAACTATGAATAAATTTAAATTATATATTGTATGAAGTAGAAATACTATTAATATTCATTATAGCCATTTTCGTATATCTGTCTGTTTTTTATACAAGCAAGTCGCTCAGTTTTAAAATCTATCAATTTATGCACATGCTGTGCAAAAACCCATATTATTATGGGTTATGGTTACCGCTATTCAAATATAATGGTTACTCTTAAACTTAAACTTACCGCTCGGCAATGTGCAGTCCCCGATTCATCATTAGGCGCATGGCCAGCAAACTGGTCTCGGCACCCATCTGTTCCGTAATATCCCTCAATCGAGCGCCAACAGCACTGAGTATCCTCAGTAGGAAACATAAGATGATATACATTGTATGCTTAGTCCAAATAGCGGAGCGTTTGAGACAGCTCCGCACAGCCAAACGCGAACCCATCGTATTTCAAAATGAAAGTCAAAACAAGTAAACCTTTTTTTTATTGGAATATACATTTAGACAAATCCCATTAACGATTTATTGCCCAGATCCATTTGTATAAGGAATATAACAATGGCCATCAGAGCGTTGATAAACTGCCACAGAACAAAGGAAGCCTTCAATGATAATGTGATTGTATTTTGTACACGTAGGGGTTGCACTTACCCCTCCCACCGCAAGGGTGTCCAAATCGACAACGCCACAGACAGCCAAAGGTTGCGACATATTGGCCTGGAGCTGCACCAGAAAATGATTCACGACGCGTTCCAGGTGCGCATCACTTGCGTCCAGCTTATTGAGAAACAGGCACAGCTGGTGTTTCTGTAAATATATTATTAGAATCTTGCTACCACATTTGGTAACTCTAGATACTGGCTTCCCGATTTCTGGGAGCAGTATAACAGTGTGGGAGATGTATGGTTTTATCAATGTTATTGATGGATTAGGGCTCTAAATGTAATAAAGTTTATTATGTCATCAGTATTACTGTATATATACCATAAAAACTTGTTATAGCCATAATTTGGTCAAAATGACCCGCTATTTAAGGACCAGGACTTTTTGATCATGGTTTGATCTCTGGATAAATATTGCATTTAAAGTTGAAAGCGTGATTCTAGCTCGAAATTCATGAAAAATTGTATACTCAAACTATGCGTGTAGGGACGGATAACAACGAGTTATCCCTGCCTTTGATGCCTCACCTGCTCCGCTATGCGCTCATTGACTTTGAGGACAAACCAAACGCGTGAGCCGTGGAGGAGCAGCCAAAGCGAACGGTAGCTGTAGAGCACCCAGTCCTTCCATTTGGCCAGTTCCAGAAGGCGAAACATATTGAACATCTCGTAGGAGAAGCTCAGCAATGAGTTGGCAAAATTCAGCAGCAGTACCATCCCGAATCTATACAACAACATTGTTTGCACCTCCTCCAAAGCTACATAAACCAAACGCAACTGCTCCAATTTGAACTCAACTTCCGAGCATGATATAGTCCGGATACGGAGGCCATTTGGAGGCAACTGCAGCTGCGCCACGCGTTTGTTAAGCTGCATGTAAAGTAGAGAGAGAAATTGCTGCATCATCACATATTGCAGCAGGCACAAGCTGATCATAATGCTGGGCAGAACGTGGGCACCGAAGCTTGGGACAGCTAAAGGCCAATAGAAATGCAGCCAGGCACTGTCCACAATAGCGCATATCCCATTAAAGATGAGTACGACCAACAGCCAAAGCAGCACATGACTCCCAAAACGGGTATAGAGTTCTTCAGTCTCGCCAGCATTCTCAAAGAGATGCACCTGCTGGCGCTGCAGCTGAAACCAGAGCCGTCTGTAGAAATTGGCGCTGCGATAGACTCTAAGCGAAAAGGTGGCCGTCATGAACATGTTTGCTGGATACTCGGCAAAGTAGAACAACTTCTGTATGGTTAAGACTTTCTCGTGGAACTTCATGGTGATCATTCTGTTAATTGTAGCGGTCCACACGCACGCCAATAGCATCAGAGACCACACCAAGTGCACATAACGAAATCTCTCTGTGGGCGGCGACACGCCCATCCAGCGGCACAAAGTCATCAAGAGGCGTAGCCAGCTTGTGCCGCGAACTTTAACACTCGAACTGCCCATCTGAAGACTGTAACGAAAACTAACGACTGTAAATCACTTGGGGAAATTATTCAAGGATGATGATTAATGATATGCTATTGGCAGCTGTCAGGATACGCTTAATTGGGGCTAATTGAAAGGCTGGATGCACACTTGACGCCCAAACGACATGTTGAAGCTGAAGTTGAAGGAGGTGTCACGCAAGAATCGTCAGGTGGCTGCCTGGTGGCAGCCAGAAAACGCAGTAGCACTTCAGTGGCATCGGAAGAGGTTCGTCAACAAATAAAGTGTAAAATACCAATTACTAATAATGCAGAAGGCTTGTTTCACAATTATTTGATTCTAAATTGTAACTAATTCTTATTATGCAAATCTCTTCCAGTAATTGGGATCTAACACAACAGCTACACAAATCAAATGCGGAGCAACTGCGTCAGGAGTTGCACATTCTTCTTGTCACATGTGTGCTAGCAGGCAGTGCTCCATTTGGGGTATTCCCACGGTTTTCTGGTAGATTTTATGAAGTGGTACAGCATTGCTGGTTGTTAGCGTTATACGTTTGCCTGCTCTTCGCTACTTACTTGGAACATTCATATACGGCAGAAGTTTTAAATAATATTGAGCGTAACTTTTATATCTTTGAGTCTCTAGCATATCAAATACACTGGCCTTGCATTATGATACAGAGCTTGAGCTGGAAGCACAAGATTGAAGAGGTATTCGACACAATTGGACAGTTTGATTTGGCCAGTGGGTATATTGTGGAACGCTGGCACATTAGACGATTTGTATGCTATCAACTTATGTTTGTGCTGATCTTTACTGGCTGCAGCGTGCCCATCACTTTCTTGTCGAGTAATGGTAGTTTTTTGAGGTTTCTGACAAATACAAGCAGTTATGTGCTGCCCAACATCTTGAGTGGCATATCCTTTGTGCTCTACTATACTCTTTTGCAAGGTATTTATCTACGTCTGCATTGCTTGGTTGAATCCTTAGAAGTGGAGGTTAAGAGAGGTCCTTTGATTAGACGTGCTGCAATTCAGCAATTGCGTTGGCAACACATACGTCTCCTACACTTTACCAAAGTGGTTAATCAAACTTTTGAGGTTTCTGTGTTATTGATCTACGTAAGCTCTTTGATCAATTTCAACACAAACCTTTTTCTAATCTACAAGACCATTGAAAACCCTGATGGGGCGACTGGAATATGGTTCTCGTATACGAGCTTATGGCTATTACTGCAGATTGGCAAGATGTTCTATATTCTGTACTTCAACCACAACGTGCAGCAGGAGGTAAGCTGGTGCAATGTCCTTATACATAATATTATTGCGCAATATACTTTTACATAATATGATTTTTTATACACAACTTACAACTTAGCACACAAGCTGCCTAGCGTTGCTGATGAAGGTGCGCACAGATAGCGACGAATTGCTGGAAACTATCCACCATTTCATACTGCAGCTGCAAACAAATGTGCGGGCGCATGTTGCATGTGGCCTTTTCGAGATGGATTATAAGCTAATACCAGCGGTAAGTTGTAGTCACTATTTACATATAGCATGCAATATAAGTATATTAAGTATATATTTTAGCTGCTGATGACCACCGCCAGCTTGTTTATATTTCTACTGCAATATGACATAACGTTCAAGGCACTACACAGTGCAGCCAACGGTACAGCTATTTAAAATACGCGCGCTAAGTATATCGATAGCTATACAATTTAATATAATTGTACTGTTATCGCACGTAATCTGCTATCGACATCACTGTAGCCCTGGCCAATAACTGCGCTTCACATCTCTGAAAAATTTGCACGATTGCGTTATATTTGCGCTCATATTAAATAAAGCATAACTTATCCTTTAAAATGTGTGACGTTGTAACGGTGCAGAAAATCGCCAACTGTCTGGGTATTGATCCCGGCAAGATTGAGCTCAACGATGAGCAGGTAAAACACGCACGTGCTTTACATACGCCAAATACACGCGTGCGACATTAATGTATTTACTATTGTCAAGGTCGTAACGCGCACTGGCGCCGCAAACAAAACTGTTGCAGGCTTTGCCACAATTCTCGAAAGTTTGGCACGCGAGTCCAAGTCGGAGACGGCACAGAATAGCATTGTGTCCAGGGAGGTGCAGGCACAGGTTTATCAATGGATCGAATTCGCGGTGTTATATGTAGCGCCTGGGTCGAAAGACAAATATGTGTCCAAGCAGCTGTTGGCCGACTTTAACAAGATGTTTCTCAGCAAATCCTATCTGGTTGGACACTTTATAACGCTCGCCGATTTGGCTGTGTATTATGCCATCAGTGAACTTGTGGTACGTACTTTTCTCTAAATTGGAAACTCATGTATTAGTCAATTATAACTTTGCAGAAATCTTTATCGCCTGTGGACAAGGAGAACTATCTGAATTTGTCTAGATGGTTTGATCACTTACAGCAACGACCCGAAATCCATCAGGGGGAGCCAATGCTGAACTTTACGACCATTTATCTTCACAACTGGGCCACAGGCACACACATTTAGTTTGCAAATCGATTCCATATTTATTTCTATTGAATCCCGCACAATTTAATGAAGATTTTTGTGCAGGATAATGTAATGCCAATGAGTCAAGCGCTGGAATCTTAATTATCGTTATTTGTAGTCAGTTTTGGAAAAAATAATATATATGCAATTACAAATTATGTGATTCGATTTGTATATGTATGTAAAAATTGTATGCTTTTCTGATTCTTATGTCGATCGTTTTCTATATGATGGTGGTATTTGCGCTGTGTAGCAGCGAGTTGTGCTTCTCCAACATCAGTTTGCCGGCACCTCGCGTGGCGAATTCAAGGAGTTGTTCAGCTCATTCGGCTCGGTGCATTTCCACAAGCCGTACGTCTTGCCCACAGTTGTCTGCCACAGACGCAGGGTGCCATCTTCGGAGCCACTTGCATACAGTTCACCGTCGGGACTGAATTTCACTGAATGCACTGGACCAAAGTGACCCTTGAAAGATTCTAAAAAACAAACATGTTAAACAAAAGAGATTTAAATGATTTGAATATGCTTACCAATTTCATTGCCTGTTATATAGTCGAATTTATACATTTTAAAGTCCTCGCCGCCACAGACGAACACATGCTTATCGGGATGCAAACTGGCCGACGCCACATTCGTTGGCACCTTTACCTCCTTCAGCTTTTTGAGTGTGTCCACCTCCCAGAAACTAATGGTCGAGCCATGTGTGATGGTTAGCACATGGTTATCGCGCGAGATCTCCAGACTGTTGGGATTATTTTGGAATTGCAGTCGCTGCACTTCGATGCCGGTCATGCGATCCCAAAGGCGCACCGTCTTATCATCTGCCGCCGAGATGATGCACTTGTCATCGCGACAGAACAGCGCACGCTTAATAGCACCAGCATGACCACTATATAGTTCCGGCTCCGCATCGGGCTGCTCCAGATTGAAGACTCGCACCAGTTTCTCATTGCTGCCGGTGACAATGTTTTCGGAGCTGTTGTCAAATGCGACGCTTTTCACGATATGCTTGTGCTGAAAACTGTGAATCTCGGCGCCGCTCACCGCGTTCCACACCTTGCCAGTGAAATCGGCGGCACCCGATGCGGCCAGCGTTGCATTCCGATTGAGTGCAACGCCCCAGACGGCGCCCTTGTGACCCTCAAAGGTGCCCACCCAGTCCCCAGTATCGCCATGACGCAGCATTGGGCTGCCATCTGCAAAGAGCACAATACAATATTCAATTCTTAAATGCACTCGCCAAAAACTGCACTGAGATACATCAATACATCAACATATGTTGTATGTGTATGAGTGTTTTGTGACTAAGTTGTGTGAGCGACGGAAGCTACCTTGACTCAATGACTACACTCAATGCCAACGACCTGACGCGATTCGTGCTCGCAAATGGGCAGCCATGCACCAAGTTCACGTCACTTCCATTGCAATGTGATCGACAGCCAGAGAGAAAGAGAGAGAGAGAGAGAGATAGAGATCGAGACAAATCAATAAATAGAGAGAGCGAGAGAGAGAGGTGAATGCTTGAGGCAGTTTGTGAGTGTGCAGGGACACAGAATCAAAGCACTCAATCAGAGCTTTTAGTTTTTAAATTGCCAGTTGAACGGTTATCATTGTACATACCCTGACAATGGATATTATGACTATGTATCAAATTGGTTAACGTTTTAATGTTAAGAAAATATCATATTGACCACTGTATCATATAGCTCAGGTAGAACGGATCGCTCATCAATTTCCATTATATATCATATATTTAACTGAAAGTTATCTCCACGTCATATGGCATATCTGGCAATTGGTTTATTCTTGATTTTTTAGCATTATTCATTTTTAGGTTGTGAAATATATTTTAACAATTAGCGCAAGTGTATTCAATCTTCGGCAGACAAAAGTTAAAAGTTCTTAATTATTTTTGTTTTCTTGACGTGTCCGAGCTGCAGTCCATATACATATATAAATATAGAAGTTTCAAGGTGCTTCCTGCGAGCAACGACGACGACAACAACAAAGTTTTTTGAAAAGTTGCTAAACAAGGGGGAAGCATTGCATTAAATGGCGATAAAAAATTAACTTGAACTTGCAATGGAAATTTGCTTCCCGCAAATACAGTGAATGATGTGTGTGTGTGTAACTTTTTCGAAAGCACAACTACAGCACAATTGTGTATGCACACACACACACACATGTATGCATACACTACACTATAATCAAGGTAAAGAACGTATGTAAAATATATATATATGTATCTGTAGTGTGTGTGTGTGCGTGTAAGCGTTTATCGCATGCGAGTGCTTTGGCAAAGGGTTTTGATAAACTGGTTTTATTTTAATAATTTTGCTTGCATTTGGGTCAAGGTTGCAACCAGGCTAGTCACACATAGCTCAAGCTAACACGATACGATATATCTGTATCTGTATGATGCTGCGTCTTTTTGCCAACACATACAAATGCACCAATCGTGTGTAATACACACTGTGCATATAAATATATAAATAACACAAGGACGCGTTTTTGTACCCTGCCACCACGACAAGTGGACGTCAGTAGTCAGTCAGTGAGTGGCATCTTTGTACCCTAGAACTTTTGGGGAACTATGCACAGAAGTTAATTCAGCAACAATATTTAATAGGGAAGAAGCACAACAGTTATTTAATATTGATTCACGTAAGTTACTGCCAATTGATGCTAACATTTTTCTTCATTACAGGGTGTGGCCAAGTCGGGCACTTTCGCGTTGAGCACTTTGTTATCGCATGCGATATTCAGATGTTTCTTACCTTTGCAGGCCGATATGAGAAAATAGCCACTGTCGCATATATCACTGAAATCCAAATGCACCACGGGTCTGGTGTGTCCACTGCAGGTCAATGGAATCTGTCGCATATTGTTGCCTGCCATTCTGGAAGCTAATTTGGCTGTAAATCTGGCTCAGATCGCCCCTTCCTTCGCTTGCTGCACTCGATTTTAATAATACTTTCTCGTTTAAAATACACTTGAAGTGTATTATGTGGAGTTTAGTTAGGTATAACAGATATCTAATAATTGATCTATTATTTATAAACTTTGTACTTGGTGTTGTTTGCTTATTGTTTTTAATGCTGTTTCATGCTCCTAGCTGCACTATTTTCATTCAATTCGTGTCCTTGGCGGCTGCACTGCGAGTTGGTGTTATTATTGTTGTCAGTCCGTGTGGTTCGTCAGAGTAGGTAGCGGCACTCTTTTAGAAACAAAGGGAAACAAATTATTTACAAGCCTAAGCGCTGTTTTCAATTGTTTTGGATTATCAAGAGGTGGAATAAAATAATTACGCGACACGCTGTTGTTGTTGTTGGACGATTTGGCTGCCGAATGATTTTTGCGAAAAGAATCGAGCATACACTACGACTATCGATGATTGACCAGCTGATGGGTTGCGATCATCGATAGTTTCCAGCTACTATCGATTTAAACTTTGTACAAAAGCGCGTATTGATTGCTTTTTGACCTTACGGTATTATATAGTGTAAAACTTATTTTGTTTGCCCCTCCTCATTCATTATGAAAAGAATTATGTCAAAAGTCGGGACCAACGCAAGTAATTTCCCTTTTTTGAGGTCTTGTAAGGTCAACATCAAACTGGGGAAAAATTCCTACTCTGCAAGGGCAACGAAGGAGATCTGCGTTATAGAACAAATTCTCATTATAACACAAAAACAATGACAATTACTGAATGACCACCTTTATACTATCTTTTTATTATATTTAAATCACGAGTTTGCACTCTTGCTTAAGCTATTCTCTAAATTTTTCACGCGTTCTCTATGTAGAAAGTGTTAACTTTATTGCATTAAAACGTGCAGAACTGACTTGTTTTCTCAGGTGATTTCAGCACTCTTTGAAAGATGACTGGCCAAATAGATGATTATTAAAATTACTTATTGCGTACTGTAGCGAAAACAATATCATTTTATTCCAAAAGTATGGCGCATATATATTTTTATATAGAACAATTACAAGAACATCACCAAATTTTCTTCAAGACTGCTTTACAACTGACAGACTATTTCGCATAATATTCATAGTGATTCGGATCACGAATATATACTTTATATGGTCGAAAATCTCTCTGTCAAAAATCATAATATTTTGGATGTAATCAATTTATTATATCATCAGCACGGGTATTTATTGTTAATATGTGTACCTAGTATAGCCTATGGCAAAAATTGCGAAAAAAAAATGGTATTTTAAGTCTTGCTGCTTAGATAGCTTAGACTTTATTATGTACTTTTTAGCAACATAAAGTGTAATGAGTTTATAAAAATTGAATCCCCGTGGTAAATATATACACTTTGATAATCATGACAGCACTTTTTGATTTACAAAGATCATAATAAGTGCTCTAGACGAAAGTGCCGCACTAGGAGACACCCTGCACGCTAAAGTATACTAATAGTTTTCTATATTTGTGCCTTTGTAGTTTATAAATCCTAAAAATATTAAAATTATAATTATATATAATATAAAATGAGATCTAAGCGACCATTCAGACTTGAATATTTGGACCCATGTTTTTAAGTTGTGCAAGAATTTATATAGGAACTTTCTGGGGTCGGATATGCTTCTTTCTGCCTATGGCACACGTGTGCATAACATCATGATAACATGCTTAGCCATTATTACTGGCTTCTGTGTATATAAAAAACGAAATAAAATAAGCACAACCCTTAACCGATAAACGTATTACGTATCCAGAATGTATATAAACCCTTATGAAATTGCTGATGAATACATCAGTTGTCACTAATATCTAGAACTCGTATCACCTTAACTTGTAAGATGCTGTGTGGAAAACAGCTAATCCTAATCGTTGTCCTGGCCGTAGTAGCATTGGCTACGGCATCAGACGGAGTGCACGATGTCCGCGAACTGACAGGCGCATCACTAGTGCAGCCTGCCTTCTCCACAGATGTGGCCATCGGAAAGTATACGCCACCGGAAGAAATGGATCGCAAGTTTTGGTACGATCTGGCGAATAAAGAGCTGGCCGCAAGATTAAAGTTAACGCAGCCGAATACGAAGAAGGCCAAGAATTTGATACTCTTTCTCGGTGATGGCATGTCGCTGTCAACCGTGACGGGAGCCAGAATCCTAAAGGGTCAGCGTCAGGGGCATACTGGCGAGGAGGCCTCGCTGAGCTTTGAGACTTTCCCCCACACCGGGCTCAGTCGGGTGAGTGAAAAAATGGGAATGCAATGGAAGAGTGTACATGCAATCACAAAGCATCCATTTCCAATTAGACCTACTGCAGTAATGCACAAGTGCCGGACTCTGCTTGCACGGCGACCGCATATCTGTGCGGCGTGAAAACGAACATCATCAATATTGGCGTCACGGCTGCGGTCAGCTTCAACAATTGCACAGAAAGTCAGGATCCAGCTAATCGGTTGACCTCCATTGCCGAATGGGCGCAAAATGCTGGCAAGGCGACGGGCATTGTAACAACAACAACGCTGACGCATGCGAGTCCATCGGGTGCCTATGCCAAGACTGCGAATCGCATGTGGGAATGTGATACGGATGTGAAAGACTATGACGTCGACCCCAAAACATGTATTGATATGGCCACACAGCTTATCACCCAAATTCCTGGCAAGAACTTTGACGTTATGCTCGGTGGCGGCATGGGCAAGTTCCTGCCCAAAACCATTCAGGATGTGCATGGCAATCAAGGCGAACGCTCAGATGGCATCAATCTGCTCTCGCGCTGGCAGGCACAGCACCCTGGCGGCGTTTTGGTTAGCAATCGGAATCATCTGCTCAGCGTTAATGTGTCATCCGTGAAAAGCATTATTGGACTGTTCCAGTCCGATCTGATGGACTTTAACATGGAAGCGGATGCCAGCTATCAACCGACGCTATCCGAGATGACGGAGGTGACCATCAAGAAGCTGAGCCAAAATAAAAACGGTTACTTTGCTTTCATTGAAGGTTAATAGACTTGAACTGATGTCTACGGAGTCTAGTCAAGCTTTAATTATTCATTTACGATTCCAGGTGGACGCATCGACCATGGCAATCACTACAACCAGGCAGGTTATGCTCTGGACGAGACGCTGGAGTTTGAAAAGGCCATTAAGCTAGCAAGGGATTTAACAAACATCGAGGATACGCTGATTGTAGTCACATCGGATCACGGGCATACCTTATCCATTGCCGGCTATCCGGGTCGTGGCACTCCAATCTTGGGCCTCAATAACCATGACAGAGATGTCAATGGTGTGAAGTACACTGTGCTCAACTATGCCGCTGGCCCCAAAAACTATCTGGACAAGAAGGGGCAGCGCATCGATCTAACCAACAAGATCGGCGCCAATGACTTCGTATTCCCCAGCTACATTACCAAGGATATTGGAGTACATTCGGGCGAAGATGTTGGCATATTCGCGTCGGGGCCACAGAGTCATCTCTTCACTGGCATGATGCAGCAGTCTACGATTCCCCATCTGATGGCCTATGCCGCCTGCATTGGCAACGGACCCAAGCTCTGTGATGCCAAATAGAGTTGCATTACAAAAATAATATTAATAAAGTCAGCAAAACCATTTCTAATTTTTTATTATTTCCTTGTACAGTGATTGACCGAAAACTAGAACTTCCATTAATTAAATTAAATTTATAAATTATTTAGGTCTGTGCCCAATTAAAATAAGAAAATTAAATATGAATATTAAAATTATGGAAACTTGACTGAAATAATGAATTGTAAAATCTCCAAGCTATATCTAGGTACAAACAAAAAAAGCAGACAGCTCCCAAATTCTTGCTGAGCAGTGAATAAAAATAAGTTTCAGACAACAGACAGCAATATAACCATTTAACTAATAATAACACAAAGTAATTACAATCATATACGAAAAGATAAAAATTAATTGAAGCATGCAAATCCAATGAAAAGAGTTGAATGAGTTGTATGAATGCGCACGTGTCGAGAAATGCTCCTAAAAGATTACACAAATAGTCAGCATTATTTTAAATATAGAACTATTAAAAGGCCTTAGTCATTTTACCTGCCTAAATTGGAATAGATAACATTTGCTTAGATATGATTAACCTAAGCAGGGAATTGTATTACTATAAATAGAATTCAGTATTTGTGTTTAGTTCGTTTTAATAAAGTACAAATTTCAAATAACTTTAGAGAAAACTGGAACTGTGTCACTTTCTTTCTCGTGACAATTTATAATTATCTAATCAATTCAATATTTTCATATAAACCAAATTCCTTAGTGACCTTGACGTTGGTAAATTTCTCATTCGACGGTTCAAAGCAGCTTTTTGGACATGTTTGAGGCTGGTTTGTCAGTTTTACATTTCCCAAACGCGACAGCTAAAATTAAGTGTATCATGTCAAGTATGATAATAGTTAATTTGAACTCTATAAGTATTCAATGTGACTTTTCAAAATAAGCTAAGTAAAGTTATATAAGACTGAAAGCAAACATTGATAAAGAAAATAAAATCATTTTAATTAAATAGAATATTTATTTTGTTGATGCAAGCAACAGTAAATCGTCCTGCGGAATATTCTCAATAAAAACGAATATGAATATATATGTAAGCGATGTAATAACTATTTATCATCGACGCGCACCTTTTGAATAACAGATTTGCCTTCGGGGTTGCGATATACACGATGATAACTATTGATTCTACCCAAGGACGATATGAAATTCTCATCGTGGGTGATTATAATCAGCATGAAATTCGATTGAAATTGACGATTCTCGACGATGCTATTGAGCGCATCGCATAGCGAAATAATATTGTCCCGATCCAGATTGGTAGTCGGCTCGTCCAGGGCAAGGACGCCACAGTTGCTGCTGAATGTCTCCGCGAGGGCCATGCGAATGATAAGCGAACCGAGGACACGTTGACCGGCACTGCAGCGTCCACGCATTTCAATCTCTGAATTGTTCTTAGACTGCACCACGCGATAGTTGTAGCTCTTACGTCGATCTGCAGACGCTTTCTTATCATCATCTTCATCATTAGTCTTGATTTGTATGTAATCGATATCGTTGCCCTTGTAAATCATTCGCCAGTATTCGCGTATCAGGCTGTTTATGTTGCTCATTTTCTCGGCATGAAACTGAATCAGCGCCCATTCGAGCGCCACACGATGTTGGCCCAGATCATCGATGCCGCGACGTTTGACAGCCACTTCGAATTGGGCACGCCTATAATTGTTCATGGATTGCTTGTATTTGGGCTGGTCGATATCACGCTGTAGATTTTCCACCTGGATTTGAATCTCGCCCAACTGGCCAAATAGTTGAGCGCGTCGGACATAAGCCTCCTTTTGCTTTTTCGACAGCTCTTGTTTTTCTTTCGTCACGTTGCGAAAGTCCAAATTGCCCAGTTGCTCGGACAGAGTTTGACAGATTTCACTGAGTTTGCTTTGCTTCTGCTGCAGCTGCTTCAGCTCACGATTATCTTTAAGATCGCGCTCCAGTGTCTCCTGATTGAGGCATTCTGTTTTAACAGATTCCAGTTTCTCACTAGTTTCAATAATTTTTCCTTTCTAAAAATATAAAATAGAATTATAATACTTTCGAGTAGTTTTAAAAGTGTCTAGTTACCAATTTATTAAGTTCTTCATTGGTTCCATTTATGGCCGCATCAAGTTTTTTGATGGCATTGGCTAGATCCAATTTGGCAAATTCTTGCATCTCTTTCTTTAATCTGTAAACAAAATCTAAGCTATCTGACTCTGTATATAGCTTTAAAGTACCCACCTCTGTATATCCTGATCAGTGCTCTTGTATTCCTGGTATTTCTTCTGCATTTCCGACAATTTAACACGTTCGCTCTCCTTAAGACGCGCCTTTTCGGATAAAGCTGAGCTCAATCTTTGTTTGAGGGGTCGAATCTTTGATTCGAGTTCGCTTATCTCTGCTGTTAATGCGATGAGCAAGTTGGAAAGCTCATCTTGCCTTTCCTTGAATTGCGGCAAACTCTGCTCGCCCTCCTTCAGCTTGATCATCTTGTCCTTCAAGCTAAAAGTATAAGAATATTGATATTTTTTTTATATATCGCTAAATAATAATTTTAGCTACCCATTTTTTTTTTCACGCAATTGATGCAGTGCTTCCATTTTCTGCTCAAAGTTTTGCTGTTCTGTCTCCAGCGCCTTGGCGTCGGCTACGATCTCCTTGGACACCTCAGTTTTTTCCGCTTGCAGAGCCTCCGTATTCACGCTGGCATCATAGCTGGCAGGCAGTTTGAGCTAGAATGCAAATATATATGGCAGTTGCTTTAGAGTAACTTCATATTTATTAGATTGTGCACCTTTAGCTGATCTAAATCTTTCTTGACGCGTGCAGACTCCTTAAGCGATTCATCAAGCAGTGTCATATCTGGTAACATTGAATTGGCCAACTCCATGTTGACTGTTGGCTCACCGAGCTGCTCCTTTAGCGTCTCATATTTAGCAACTATTTCGCTCAATCGTTGCCCAATCATGCGCAATTCTTCCTTCTTCTTGGGCAGCAATTCTTTGAGTTCCTGAACCTTATCAATAGCTGGCTTGATCTGCAGTAGTTCTTCATATTTCGACTGCTCTGCTTTTAAGGCCTTCTCTGTTTTGGCAATGTTATCGGGCAGTTTTTGTATCTCATCCGTCAGATCTGTTGTCAAGTCCAAGGCCTGTGGAAGGGGAAGATTAATTAAGAGGATAGATTTACTTCAACTCATTGCTTACCTCATCACCAGACATGTTGTGATGACACAATGGGCAGCTGGGCTCCTCATTGATCTTTTGAATATACCTGCGAGAGATGAAATCAAGCTAATTATAATATATATACATATATAATGGACACGTATTAACAGATTTTGTTGTAAGTTGTACAAAACTTATTAAAAATTTAGATGTCAGCAGATTTAATCTTCGGCATGCCAACGTTGGCCATTATGGCCAATATATTAGCGCATACAGTACTTACTTTTTGTACATGTTCTCGGCGGATTTGAGAGCTCCGTGCTCCAGTTGAAACCTGGATATGGCTTCCTTGCTGCGTAGCAGCAACTCATCGTAGCGTGCGGCGTGGCACTTCTCGTAAATGCGCTCCTCAAGCTCGTGCAATTCCTTTTCCATGCGCGCAATGTCGCCAATTAGATTCTTGCGATTGATCTCATGTGATTGCTCCTCGATCTTCTGCCGGTTAGCATTATCGTTTAAGTCCTGGATGTCGCGGCGTAGCTTATCGTATTCAGTCTTCATGCTGTGACGATAGTTGCTAGTAATGGGTTCCTTGAAAAATTTGACGAAATTATCACTGTGCTTGCTACGGCCTCGATGGATTTCCTGTTTCTTCTTCTCCAGCTCCTTTTCCTTCAGACCGATCTCAGCCATCAATTTGGCTATGGAGCTGAGGAATGTGAGCTGCTCGTCTAGCTTATTAAAACGCGCTCGCTTTTCAGCTATGGACACCTTTTTGTTAGCTATGAGCTGGCGACACTCCTCCTGATTGAATATGCGCGTTGTGCGCTCATATTCATCATCCGTGTCCGCAATTTTCTTCTCCAACACTTTGAGCTGTTCCAATGATTTTTCAATTTCATTAATTTTTAGCTCAAGAGATTGGCTCTCCACTTCGCTAGCTTTCTTTTGCTTCTGCTGCGAGCTGACACTTTGCTCCGACTTGGTTATATCGGTACGCAGATCGTCGATCTTTGCCTGACGCGATTGATCCGCCTGATCGTTCTCCTCACTCTGCTTTGTAATCTCACGCTGCTTGCTGATCAGCATCAAATCAATCTCGTCGAGCAGACTGGATAATTGTTGGGGATTATCAACAGCATTGGCTCTTACACATATTTCCAACTGCACGCACAGCACCTGAAGGCTATCGGTCAGCTGTAGTTTGTAGTTCTGCTCGTTTCTGTACTTCTGCTGTGCAACGCAGCGTTCCTTTTCCTGCTTGACCAGCTTATTTTGTTGATCTGTATTTGATGTCTTTAATCGCTCCAGTTGTTCCTCCACATCGGTGGTTTGAAATTTCATTTCGGACATACGCTGATTAAAACTACGTATTTCCACTTCCAATTCTGCGATTGAGCCCGTAAAATGGCTTTTGATGTTCCCGGACAGCTTCTCTATTTGCTCCACGCAATTTTTGTGCCTGAGTGTACAAATTAAATACACAATATACTTTAAACTATAAGATTTCAATATTATTTACTTAGTGTCCATTTCGACCTTCTGCGCCTGATATTTGCCAATATCGAATTCGATATTGCGTATTTCCTCCAGTCGGCCATCAATGGGTTTTACATCCGCATCGCACTTGTCGCATTCCATTTTGATATCCTCCAATTTTCGCTGAGCCTTTTGCAGGCCCAACGTTTTCTCATCCATTTCTTTTTTTATGTACTCATACACCCTCATGTCCGATTCTAAAAATTCCAGTTTTAAATAGAGTTCATATACCAAGTATTTGAATGTATTCATACCCATCACTTTGAGCTTCTCCTGCGCTGATTTGCGCAATGCGATGATTCTGTCGAGCGCTTTATTGTACTCTGTAATGCCAAAGATCGCATCGAATTTCTCCTTCAGTTTCTTAGGCTCATCCAGTGGCCAGCTTGAGTCCTCTTGGTGACAAAAGAGTACATTGTTGATAATTGCCTGCGAAACGCCCATAAAATCAGCAACGGCCGAATCGGTATTCTCTCGCCGAAAGCTCATTGACTCCTGACTGTCGCTGCCAAGAAAGTTGACGGCACAATCGACTTTATTAAATGTAGTCTTGTTGTTTCTAACGGACAACTTCATGCTGCGGCAGATTGAGAGACGTGCATCGAGTCTGTTGCGCATCAGAATCTTCACCTGGCCGAGGCATTCGCTTTTGCGGAATATTTTTGGATCATGTACGAATCGCTTGCCGCTATCGCTGCCCGGCGGACACTGGCTAGTGAGCGCATATTTAATGCACTCGATTATGGTTGTCTTGCCGCAGCCGTTTTGGCCAAGAATCAATGTAATTGGCGATGAAAATGTAATGCTCTGTGTTTGAAAAGCATAAGTAAATAGCAAGTAAAGTTTCAGGGTTATGGCATTACCTGCATGTCTTCGGCATTGGCGCCAAAGCTGCGAACGCCCTGTATAGAAAGTTTCTCAATTGTTGACATTTTGCACACACATTGGTTTGAAATAATTTCACAATGCCAGCAAAATACGCAGTTTTGCCGGTCTTCCGATGCGATTACAATGGGCTACAGGTTGCTGCCGATTAGTTGTCGCTTATCGATAGGTGGCGACGTAACGTAAATATGGGCGCAGTATGAGTACGTTAGCGCTAAAATTAGTTCATCGCCCAGCCGCCACAAGTAGATGTTAGGTATAATTGATTATTGAGACTACGGTTACACTGGTTGTTTGTTAGCTCTGAGTCGCAGAGCGATGAGTTTATTTTTCTCGTGTCTTATAAGTAGTATTAATAAATGTAAAAAGTGCAACAGCTAATCAAAATAAACTGCGCAATTACCAATTGAGCAGTTCACGTACTCGTACTCGTGCCAGTGGCCCTGCTTGTGTGCCAGTGTGTGTCGTCGTGTGGCTGTGTGGGTGTTGCTGTCCGTGTGTTTTTGTATATAAGTAAATCTCGCGGGGGGGTGGCAATAAAAGAGGAGAGAGGGAGCACAACGAAGCTAGTGCGCGAGTGCGAGGAGCCGAGGAGAAAAGTGAAAAAAGACAAAGGAACTGAATGTTGACAGTAAAATTACAGTCAATTGCATTCTGATTGCTTTGCTGCATCAAGCAAACGCGAATTATCATCGCATATGTCTATTTTTACGAATAAATCTCAAAGCACACAATTTGAATGTAGCTCTCTGCATTTGCCCGAGTGTATGTGTTTGTGTGCGTGTGTGTACGAAAATAAAACGGGCAGTGTTCCGGGATCTGTAGACAATGAATGCCGTTTGCCACCCCGCTAAGCCAAAGCTCTTCCAACTCAACGCAACGTAACGTAACGCAACGTCGCTACGTCACGTAGAATTGCAACGTTACCCCACGGCTACTTAAACAGCAACAAGAACAACAGCAACAATAACTAAATCTTCCACCACCACCAACACAATCAACCAGCAACAACACCACCACTAGCAACAAAGCAACTGTTACAAATATAGCAGCTACAACAACAGCAACAATAACAAGAACAACAAAAGGAACCCCGCCAACCCCCTCGCTCGCTCAATAGCCTTGTAAAGAAGTATTTTTACGTTTTTGCCTTACTCGCCCTTCAGTCGTCAGCCAGGCACAGCACAGCACAGCACGCAGCACTGCAAGGGGTAGGGGTACAGGGACAGGGTGCGGGCGCACACACAAACACTGCAAGGCTGTCCTCACAGAGTTGCAATGGACTCGGACATTGAAATGGAATTGGAATCGGACAACGATGGGGAATTTGATGACGATTATGATTACTACAATACAGGTAAGTAGAAGAAGAGGGGGAGGGGTGTACAACTGGCCCCCAAGGACGCACTGTGCAGTTTATCGATTACACTCGCTCAATCGATTTAACTTAACACACACAACTCACACACAAATGCAGCAATTGGTGTTCTTATTAGGCGTTTTTGGTATCTAAGTGAAGTTGGCATACGCTTTAGTTGGTTATTCACCTTTTGTGTAACAAACGCCAACCTGCAGTTGTATTTTGCATTTAACCTTCTGCAATACAATCGCATGCATGCACTGAAGAATATGTAACTACTGTTTTGGCTCTTGACATTCGCCTTTTCCGTTTAGTTTCCCTGCTCACCGCTAACCGCTCCCCTTCCCCATCCCTAACTTTAACTGCTGTGTCTCAGTTCTCCTTCTTCCACCTCCACCTCCAACTTCGTCAACTCTTCTTTCAGGCATGTAAGTCTCGCATTTGCATTGCCCTTTTCAACCACAACTACAATTCAATTCAATGTACACACACACACACACACACACACACACACATGTGTGTACACACATACAGTGCTCGTTTCGTTACGTTTTGCTTTCTGACCATGAAGCTTAAATTATGAAATTGAACTTGAAATGGCCGTTCGCTTAGCTCGGCCAACGCCAAAACATGCGGGGCCAGCGCTCATCGCTCATCGCACTGTGTCGTGTTATTATTATTATTATACCCTGTAAAAAACGTACTAAGAGGCTGAACGAGAGTAATTTCATTTGCATTGCTGTCTGCATCTAATTGTTCTTTTCCGATTGATAAGGATTCCTCAATTTTTGCTGTAAACCGGCTAAAACAATATCAATTTATTTGTTTGCAAAGTTGCCAAGTTATTAGTTATTTAATTCTCCAATGAAGCTAATTGAGAAAACGGCACGGGGAATCTTCTAGTCGCGCACTCTCCATTAGATCACTTGTGTTCTTTTTTTTTTCTTCTTTCTTCATTTGTTATTTGTATTATTACCACCTTTACTTTGTACTCTTTTGGTATCTCTGCTTTTTACCTGCTCTCTCTTCCCTGCCTCGTCGCGTCTACTATAAGCAGATGCCTGCTCAAGTGGCCGATGCCACAACTGCGACGACAACGACGACGACGTCAGTTGCTTAACTTGCATTTTCTTTTCCGTCAACTGTTGTGCTGCTGTTGACCTGACCACCTCCCTCTCTCTCTCACTCTCTCATTGTTTCTATCTTTATCTGCTCACGTTGCGAGCTGCCTGTGACGACATGGCTAAGTCTCATTTGTAAGCCGACGACGTAATATTTGGCCTTCAATTCATTTCCAACAGTCGTTAAAATGGCAATCAATTCAACGATCCATCAGCATGCGGCAACAACTGATTTGTTTTTATTCCTCTTCGCTCATGCTTTGGTTGTGGATGGAATTGAGGCCTACCTATCGGTTTTCCCATTTTCCCCATTTGCACAATTGAGCCTATGAATAGCTGGGTAAATCAGGTAGCAAACCGATTCAATGCTTTTATTAACTGCACCTGCTGATGGTTTCCGATTATCAGGAAAATAAGCATGGATTTATGGTGTAAGAAACCAAAATTTAACTGAAAAATAACGCGTGTGAGAATCACTTCTATATTATGTTAGATAAGCTAGTGTAAAAGTAATGTTAATTAATGTTAAATAACTCTTTAGGGAGTAGTTCAGATATGCAGATATCTACATATATAATTTTATATTTTCTTATTTATAGGCGAAGACTGCGATGTGGAAAGACTCGATCCGAAGCGTGCTGACCCCGAGTATTTTGAATTCGACTGCCTAACCGTTGAAGACATTGAGAAGCTGCTAAATGAGCTGGTGGAGAAACTGAACACAATATTGCAGATAACACCATCGCTGGCCAAGGTGCTGCTCCTCGAACACCAGTGGAACAACAATGTTGTGGTGGAGAAGTATCGGCAGGATGCCAACGCTTTGCTGGTAACGGCACGTATCAAACCACCCACGACTGCAGCGGCGGATGCAGCGTCGACGAGTGCAGCAGCAGCTGCGAGTGCACAGCTGCTGAGAATAGGCAGCAGTGGCTACAGAACAGCAGCAGCAACGTTACCCACATTGAGCAGCCACAGCAGCGGGAACAGTTTGACTACGCAAGTGCAGTCGCAGTACCGGCGAATGTGCCCGGTGTGCGCGAGCTCACAGCCGAATGATAAGTTCTACAGTTTGGCGTGCGGGCATTCTTTCTGCAAGGACTGCTGGACCACTTACTTTGAGACGCAAATCTTTCAGGGTATCTCCATACAGATTGGTTGCATGGCGCAGCAGTGCAATGTGCGTGTGCCGGAGGATTTGGTGCTGACACTGGTCACGCGTCCGGTCATGCGAGACAAGTATCAGCAGTTTGCTTTCAAAGACTATGTGAAATCACATCCGGAGCTGCGCTTCTGCCCCGGACCCAATTGCCAAATCATTGTGCAATCAGCGGAGAACTCCGCGAAGCGTGCCATCTGCAAGTCCTGTCACACGGGCTTCTGTTTTAAGTGCGGCATGGACTATCATGCGCCGACTGACTGCCAGATCATCAAGAAGTGGCTTACGAAGTGCGCCGACGATAGCGAGACGGCCAATTATATAAGCGCACACACCAAAGACTGCCCCAAGTGTCACATCTGCATCGAGAAGAACGGCGGCTGCAATCACATGCAGTGCTTCAACTGCAAGCACGACTTCTGCTGGATGTGCCTGGGCGATTGGAAGACGCACGGATCCGAGTATTATGAGTGCTCCCGCTACAAAGACAATCCCAATATTGCCAACGAATCGGTGCACGTGCAGGCGCGCGAGGCACTCAAAAAGTATTTACATTACTATGAACGCTGGGAGAATCACTCCAAATCGCTCAAACTGGAGCAGCAAACAATCGATCGCTTGCGACAACGCATCAATACGAAAGTGATGAACGGCAGCGGCACCTGGATCGACTGGCAGTATCTGTTCAGTGCGGCGGCGCTGTTAGCCAAGTGTCGCTATACGCTGCAATACACGTATCCCTATGCCTACTACATGGAGCCAGGCTCGCGAAAGAATCTATTTGAGTACCAGCAGGTAAGTTGCCAAAGATTAGCTAATTGCGAAACTTTATATATATATATTTATAATAAAATGTTCTACTTTTAGGCGCAACTGGAAGCGGAAATTGAGAATCTGTCGTGGAAAATTGAGCGTGCTGAGACAAAGGAGCTGGGTGATCTCGAGAATCAAATGGATATTGCTGAAAAGCGTCGCACGACTCTCCTCAAAGACTTCTTTCCCATAATTGGAAAGGCATAGGCTTTCGCGAATGATAAGATGAATGCTGAAGCACAAGATTCGTTTTATTTATTGACTAGCCACTGACAGTATAAGAGACGCTTATATTATAATCCATATAAAAGTAGTCTAACAATTTGTAGCTAATTTTTAAATTAATATTCAAGTGCATATGTAGTTATAATCTAGTTTCTACGATTTAAAGTATGTCTAATTATGATTATTATAGTTGTGAAATTCGAAATCACTCAAAAGTCGATTCAACTGCAATACAACGCCTTGCGCAGAACAATAGCGATAGGGAATCTAAGCAAGTGCTCCCCAACAGTTTTCCAAAAACTTATCCAATAAATCCAGCATTCAGCGTCATGGTCTATCAAAAAAAAAAAAAATCAAAAAAAAAGGACAGGCAAACTCAGTAATTAACAATAAACATCAACAGCTTAAGCCATTCTGTGAGAATATACAATTTCTTAGTCCGAAGTCAAAAGTCTTATTAACGTATTGTAACTGAATGCTTACAACCACAATATTAACGATGCCCAAGTATTTGTAATTCAAACAAAACACAAACAAACCTCCACATAAGTCCTTAACTCGTAACAAAGATATACAAAGAAAACTATCTGAAATCATTAAATTATGTTGACATTTTTCTACATATTCTGTGGGTTGGCAGCGCTGTTTTCATATAAGCTGAATTATACATTTTAGTTATTAGGATAACGCTAAGTATGCTTATGCGACTGAATTTAAATTAATTAAATGCAAATTGAAAATAGTAGTAACCGAATTGAGTTGTAATATTTACAACAAATTTGGAAATGTCTTTCACAAATTTGAATATCATTTCATCGATGGTTCTTAACTATACTCGGCTAAAAGCTACAACTATATATAATAGTTATAAATGTGATTGGCTTTAAGATATTCTGGAATTTCGCTAAATTAGATTGCAAGCTTAAATTCAAGTGGCAAGTTTATTCAAATGCATTATTTCTTCTTTCCCTTCTTTCCCTTTTTACCCTTCTTTCCTTTACCTTTGCCCTTGCGTTTCTTTTTCGAAACTATTTCCGGCAGTTTTATAGTGTTATCCTGTTTAACTTGAACAACTGGAGTAATTTTTTTAGGTTCCAGTTGGCATATTTCGTTTATCGTTTTCTTTTTCATGGCATTATCACCGCTTATGGAAAGGATGGGTACACGATGCCAGTTCTGAAGTACTCGATCGTGGTAGACTTTAACATCGCAGCAGTTCATAAGCACAACCACATTTGTATTGTCTGTGATGGGATCACGTAAATACAGCTGCTTGCCACAGTCGTTGCAATTCTTCTTTACTCTTCGTATACGAAACTTACAGGGAAAAATACGTCCAACTAATAATTCATTATTCAGGAAAACGCTGTGCTTATAATTTGGCTTAGCTTGCGGCCGTTTTATCCACTATTGTTAAGGAGTAAGACTTAAGATTTGTTAATGGCTGTTCAGAAATTCAGGATAAAAACCTCATTTAAATGCAACGACGTGCTCGGTGGCCTGCAGTCAGCGGAACAAAAATTATTTGGATGGGTTGCATTTTGTGCATCGCAGAGGGTACACGGCTTTTCTGGTATTTCGTTATTCTTGGCACTCAGTGGTTTGATGTCTATTAGACGTCGAACAGGCGGTTCCGGTTCAAGAATGGCCTTCACATCGCTGGACAGTTGATTGACGACATCGACGATCTTGTAATCGGGGCATGGTCCATGCAATGGATCAAAGCAATTTGGTAGGCATTTTCTTGGCAAATCTTTACTTAAAATTTCTTTCCATTTACAACAACTGTTTCTTGTTCCGGCCATTGAGGAAAAAGATAGGTGAATGGTACGGTTGGGAACAAATTTGTTGAAACTATTGCACTTGAATATTATAATTTTGACTGTAACACTTAAACCATGACTAACGATTTGTAAAACAAAACAGCATTATTTTCAAATTTGAATATATCGGTATATCGACTGCAATTTTTAAAAACTTTCCAGCACTGCCTACTTCACAATTTACAACACTGCCTTTATATCGGTTCATCACTAAAATAATGAGCGTCTATCGCTCGACCGCCTTAAAATTAAACCGTAAGCGAGTTGGGTTTAATGACAAAAAATGGAGCTGCCCGTGTCCGATTTCAACTTACGGGACCTGATCCGCGAACTTTACGGACGTGCATTTAGCACTGAAGGCACACAACAGGAGCTCCATGACCGCCTAATGACAGCGCGCCACGAAAAAGCTGAGGCTCAAGCGCAGGGCTTCTTACGACCCGGCAGGCCGCCAATTACAAAGTTTGGAGCTTGCGTGCAGCCGGACGATTTTGCGGAAATTGAATGTATGACCGATGATGAGTACGCCGTGTACTCGGAGAAGGTACAGTGGCGACTGCGCCGCTTACACAAAACGTATACACGCAACGGATTGGAGTACTACCATCCCGGCGTGCTTCATCGAATCGATCGCTCGAAGACGTATGCCCTTCACATGAGTGAGTTTTGGGTGCGACAGGAACCGTATATCCACAAGGTAAATCATCATTCCAAATTTATGCATACTTACATCGATAAAATACACTTCTCGAACAGATCTTTGCAGTGTTTGTGTCGCGGACCAACGGCGAGGAGCAGCGTCTCTGCTATGCCAGAAGCTTTGCAAAAAATCGCTCCAAAGATATGGATATGGAGCAACTAAAAGTGCCCGTAAGCTGTTGTCGAATATGTAAATGTCTTCATTACAATTTGAATTTAAATTGTTACAGCTAATCACAAACGACGAAATTGGCAGAGTTATAACAAATATATTACTTGAGATCGAGCACAACGGATTGGAGAATTATGTGGCCATCATTGCGGAAAAGAGCAAACTCAATACGAAAGCTCTCATGGAAATCAAGATGGTAACTGGAGATACGTTGCCACCAATCATTTTGGATTCTTGCCATCTGCACAAAACCTTTGAAAGCATGTTCTGCTCTAAATCGGCGCGTTGTCTGTCTCAGCTTGAGCATGAGATTTTCGTTGAGAATGGGTACGTGGAGCAGTTGAACGGCATCTGTCAAAACTACACACAAAATGTTGAGGCCGATGGCTTGTTAGTGGAATATAAAACGTCGCTGCCATCTGTATTGTTAGCCATGTGGAAGATCGCAGAGCATCGAAACAAACCGATTTCACTGGCGCGTTTAAATAATGATAGGCTGAATGCATATAGCGTCCAAGTACAAAATGATCTCCCTCCTATCACATTTGAGGAGTGCTCCGCCGGCGGTGGTCTCCTGCAACTGATACTCTTCGACGCCTTGTGGTGCCTTTGCGATGGTCATGAAATGGAAGAGGAGTCACCTAAGCCAACGCTAGATACTGCGATTCCATATGAGTGGCTGCCCCTTTTGAACTGATATTGACTTACTGTTGTCGCTGTAAATTAAATTGTAAATTAAAGCGGCTCAGCGCAATAAAACTGACCAAAGATAAACTCTAGACGTAACATTATTTTATGAACTTTATTATAGTTGTCGACATCAAATGACAACGTTTAGTTTTTATCAATTTTTTGTAACTGAAGTGTACTTCCCATATCTTTTAAGGTAATATCTTCCAAACTCTTCATCGTTTTGCCACTTAAATCCTTTTTTTCATCAAATATTTTTAGGTTCTTGGCGTGATACCAAACAGCGATATTCATAAAGCCGCCCAAGACGATAAATGACGCTGCCGAAAGATTGAGAGTATATCTGAAATAAAACTAAATTAATTTGCAATTAAGACAATTACATTTGAAACCGTTACCGCAACGCTTGTGTGTCGTACAGCCAACAGTTGCCCTTATTGCTGCACGTCTTGCCCCATACCAAACAGTATTTATCTATGAGCCAGCCGTAAAAAATGGGACTGGGTATAAAGCCTAGCAACGATGCCACCATACTGCCTACTCCCAAGGCAAAACTCTTCTCCTCAGGCGGAATGCAACGCAAGGCAATTAGCAGATTCGTGGACTTACTGCTTGCACCAACAAGCTTAAGGAAACACATGACGGCCAGGAAAATGAGAAACTGATTGAAGCAATCAACATGACAAGGACCGTCCACCGCGTATTGCAACTGCAAATAATGAGTTCAATTAGTTTTCCTATTCGTCCAATCAAATTTCAACGCTTACTTCTGGGACAGATGTTGAGTTCGATGGAGCTATACATTGGCATCCCGTATACAAAGTACGCCCCAGTTGATCCTTGGTGTTGTCGGTGCAGCCGGCGTGACATGCGGATATGTAGGTGTCATTGTTGGGACTGCAGATCGGGGCATAGTGTACATATTCACAGTGGCAGGAGGCACTGCAGCTATCTGCACTGGTCACCGCCATGGAGCTTAACTTGTCGCTGCCCTCACAGCCAATAACCACATAGCACAAAATTCCAGCAACGGTAAGGAAATCAACAATGGCATTCCAAGCAGCCATAGAACGAGCGCTCGGCTGATACTTGGATACAATGTAGCCAGAGAGAAGGACACCCCCAGCAGAGAATCCGAGAGCAACGGTTCCAGTAGCCATTGTTGCCATGGATGCCGACTGCTGATATTGCGTCTCAATGTACTTCGGTGTGAATATCCAGTAAACCATGTATCCGAAGAAGTAAAGAATTGATGCAAAAGTATTGTACACATAGACCTTGTTTGTCGCCAAGTGTTTGAGGGAGCACCACATGCCGCTCAATGATAGGTCCATCTGTTGGTCCATTGGGTTCTGTATGTCATCTTTCTCGCATTTTAAGCGCCTCGCCCTCGTGCTGGGCAGTTCCTTTGGGAACAGAGTCATCAAGCATGCGATTAGAAATGTGATGGCTGCCAAAATGAGCCAGCCGATCCAATAGGCTCCCAGCCATCTCGGATCTTCGGGCTTGATTAGAGGCTCCGTTGTCGGGTCTATATACCAACGCAGGCACACAGAGGCCAGCGAATATCCGACAGCCGGGCCCAGCATGCGCAGAAAAGTGGAGAAGCCTATGACAATTTATAATGTGAGTAATAACATATTATATTATTAATAACATATATTTTTTATTCTAGATGTTTAGGGTCTTACTTACTCAGCATGGCTGGCGTTTTGGACTTGGTGGTGTTATCATCCATGTAGGCAAGGCCTATTACAATGAAGAGTGCCTGCCCAATTCCTAATATGAACTGTGCTCCAAACAAGATTAGTTGAGGTCCCCAGATGCTATTCTCCTGCATGCAAGTGGATTCCTCAGACATGCATAGTTTTTGATCCTTATGTGAGCCTGTTAAATTTCCAGTGATATTTTGCAAATCGCCAAACTCGCGAGTGAGCTTTAAAGCATCCTCGCCAGCACCATATATAAAATGTAGCGAGCAGTTCAGTAAACAGAATATAACAATTGTAAACAGACCTAAAATTTGGTATATTTCATTATTTTTGCATATTTTTCTTAAAGATTATACCACTTACCTATGCCCATCCAGCGAGGGCGATGAACTTTCCTCAAATAATAGCCTATCAAGGCTGACCCAAACATTGTGGTCATATCATTACCGACCGATATAATACCCAAGGTTTTCGTTGGTATCTTATATCGTTTTTCCAGTGTTGTGATTGTGCCACTAAAATAGGCAAAGCACATAGCCATAAAACAGCCAGATACGCCATATATTGTAACATACATTGTTTCCGTGGCGAATCTACAAAAAATAACAATGTTGCTAAAACTAAAAAAATATCTTTGTTGTTTGTTAGGATAAAACCTTTGTAGAAGCGGTCCTTTAAATATCCAGAAGCCACACATAATATCATCATTTTCATGCTGTGCATCCTTAATCTCTTTCTCCTTGTTGTCGATGGCTGCACTCCTGGCAGCATCCGATAAAAATGGAGACACCTCACTTTGCTCTTTTATTTCCAGGCTCATCTTCGACTTGCTCCATTGAAACACTTCAATGAACTGATGCAGAATAAAACTACGAGTTTGTAATTATATCTCGACGTTCAGTGTCAATAAAATGCCTTTTAGAAAAAGCTCGACAAGGTGGATGCATTTATGAACGTTGTAGCTTAACTCCTGACGAGATAACAAGCTTGACATCATGCAGCAGAGATAGCATGATGAAATGATTAAATTATCTCGTCCGAGATTATTAAACGTTTAGCATCGGTTTCATTAAATCTTCTATTTCTATTTCAAGCTACCTGAATAAGCTTATCAAGTTAAAAAATTTACGCTGTTTCGTTTATATGCCAATTTGATAAACTCATCTTTATCATTGTTTTCATAAGATTGCTAGATGTCTAGTTGATTTATTATATAATTAATCTGACTATGTGCTTTTGTTTATTATTTACTCAAAAGTATTTCATTTTTGGTGGAAATCCAAAATATTTAATATTTTAATAATTGAATAATTTTGATAGGTTGAATGTTCCAGTTTTACTTTATTTTTCCCGTTTCCCGCTGAATGAAAACGATTTGATTTTTTCTTGTTTCTTCAAAATGTTTAATTCGACTCATAGAGTTCAATAGGATTTTCAATTATGTATTTTTCTTAAGAGTTTTCTAATTTCTCGGATATTTTAACGTCTTCACCTTTGGTGTTCAACTTGATATTATCAACTTTATCATCTGCCTTGTTAGATTCGCTTGGCTCGTCATCAAAGATTTTAAGGTCTTCAGCATGATGCCAAACTAGAACGTTAAAGATGCCTCCCAAAAATATGAAAAGCGCAGTCGTCAAATTGAATGCATATCTGAAATATAAATCAAAGTCATTAATTTAAATGATTGGTAACGTTGAGAGTTTTACCTTAATGATTCCGTATCGTATAACCAACAATTGCCTTTATTGCTGCATGTTTTGCCCCACACCAAACAGTATTTATCCAAAAGCCAGCCAAAGAAAATCGGACTGGGTATAAAGGCTGAAAGGGAGCTGATTAAGCCGCCCAGTCCCAAGGCCAAGCTTTTATCCTCTGGTTTTATACAACGCAGTGATATTAGCAGGCTTGTGGATTTACTAGAAGACCCAATTAGCTTAAGCAGGCACATGACCACCAAAAAGATTATAAACTCTTTGGTGCAATCAACCGGACAGGCACCATCCACAGCATACCGTAACTGAAAATAATTTTAATTAGCTCACTGCTGTGATTTTAATCGAATAGTTGCCTTACATTTGGAACACCAGTTGAGTTCGAGGGTGCTACACAAGCACATCCAGTAAATAAAGTTCGTCCTAATTGATCCTTGACTTTGTCGGTACAGCCGGCATGACATGCGGATATGTAGGTGTCATTGTTGGGACTGCAGATCGGGGCATAGTGTACATATTCACAGTGGCAGGAGGCACTGCAGTTATCTGCACTGGTCACCGCCATGGAGCTTAACTTGTCGCTGCCCTCACAGCCAATAACCACATAGCACAAAATTCCAGCAACGGTCAGGAAATCAACGCACGCATTCCAAGCAGCCATTGCACGACCACTTGGCTTATACTTGGACACAACAAAGCCAGAGATAAGTACGCCCGCAGCAGAGAATCCCAATGCTATGGCTCCTGTGGCCATTGTCGCCACTGATGCCGACTGTCGATACTGGGTCTCAATATATTTCGGTGTATATATCCAATAAGCAAAATAACCGAATAGGTAAAAGCTGGATGCGAATGTGTTGTACATATACACTTTGTTAGTAACCAAGCGTCTTATAGATCGCACCATGTCACTTATTGAGAGATCTTTGTGTTCCTTCGGATCCTGCATGCCAGATTCTTCTAAATTTATGCGTCTCACCTTGGCACTGGGCAGCTCCTTGGGGAACATAGTCATTAAAAAGGCAAAAATAAATGTTACACCAGCCAAAACGAGGAAACCGATCCACCAGGCGCCAAGCCATCTGGGATCCCCGGGTTGGATAAGCGGGTCCAATTCCGGATCTATATACACACGCAAGCATACTGAAGCTAATGAATATCCAATGGCCGGACCTAACATGCGTAGAAAAGCGGATATGCCTAGAAGAAGCAGAAATGTTAAAGTATTTTTAAACGATTTTAATTTGGTTATTTTATTTTTTAAATTCACTTACTCAGCATGGCAGGTGTTTTTTCCTTTGAGATGTTATCATCCATATAGGCAATGCCCACTGTCCAGAATAGGGATATTCCAATGCCAGCTATAAACTGTCCAATAAACATAACCAATGGCGGCACCCAAGTACCATCCTGCTCAATGCAACCTGGATCTGTGGTCATGCACAGTTTGTGGTCCTTATGCGCGATACTCATGAAATCACTGCTATTATCATAATCACCAAATTGGCGGGTCAGTTTTAAGGCGTCCTCGCCAGGGCCGTATATAAAGTGCAGCGAGCTAGTTAGCAAACAGAATATGATAACCGTAAAATATCCTGGCAAGGTAAATTATGTTTTTTATTGTGAGATTAACACTTAAGTCGCCGGTTTATTTTATTTACCAAATCCAATCCAGCGTGCACGATGCCCCTTATGTATAAAATAGCCCGCAAGCACCGAAGTTATCATCATGCTTACATCATTGCCAACTATGATAAGGCCAGACAGTTTCGTTGGTATTTTATAGCGCTTCTCCAAGGTCGTTAGGGTGCCCGTAAAGTATGCGATAGACATCGACATGAGGCAGCCCCCCAAGCCGTAGATCAAGACGTAAGCCTTCTCGGTAGCCAATCTATAAAATATTTGTGTTGCTCAGACTGCTAGTTCAAATTTGGTCTTATCTTATCTTAACCTTTGCAAAAAGGGTCCCTTGAATATCCAAAAGCCACATCTTATGTCCTTGTGCGGCTTTTCCTTAGCCAATTTTCCATTTTTGAGAAACGGGAACTCCTCTTCTTGATCTGGTTTTTTGTCGACGCTCATTTTAAACCTGCTGCATCCAAATGTTCAGACAGACTGACTGTAAACAATTTTCCATAAAGTATATCTTGCCAGCAGTTGGCAAATGTATCCATAAAACTTCATGAAAAGATGATTACTTTAATATAATGACATTATAAAAAATTGTGTGTTAACCAAACATCAGCGAGAATTATTATCTTTTAAAAAAAGAGGAAATCAGCATGACTCGCTTGGGATTATTAAATTACGATTTCCGGCGAGGATTAGGCGACAACATTGATTGGAAAATATTAATAACTTAATTTTCAAAATATTAATAACTTAGTTATTATTTTATATACCATTTCGACTTTAAAAAGTACAGTAGCAGTAGTTGCAATTTTATAATACTTTATAATGGGAATATTATGCTGGATTCAATTTATTATGAATTAATAAACTATATAAATATTATTATCATAATTATTTACCGAAGCCCTATGTTCATCGCTGGTAAAGATGATCGGACTAAATTAAACACAATGAAAGTAAACACCTAAGTGTATTTTACTATACATTTTTTTATTATTATTATTATCTCGATCATAATTAATTCTTTTTTATCTCGCTGGGCTTTTCGCTTAAATCAAATTGCTCTTGTTCTTTTACAGTTATCTCTGCCCCCTCGCTTTCAAATATCTCCAAATCTTTGGCATGATGCCAAACACCAATGTTCCAAAAGCTGCCAACAAAAATACACGCAGCTGACAAGAGATTCATAGTATAACTGAAATGTTTGTTTATGATAAGCTTATTAGGATAGAGACTTTAAAGATCTGATTACCTACCGCAATGACTTGGTGTCGTATAGCCAGCAATTACCTTTAGTGCCACACGTTTTGCCCCACACAATACAGTTGTTATCCAGTATCCAGCCAAATAAAATGGGGCTAGGTATGAAGCTGACCAGGCAAACTACCACATTACCAAGGCCCAGAGCGAAACTCTTATCCTCAAATGACACACAGCGCAAAGCCAGTAAAAGATTGGCAGTTCTGCCCGAAGCGCCAATAAATTTCAGAAAACACATGACGCCCAGGAAGATAAGGAACTGATTGTAGCAGTCAACCGGACAAGAGCCCTGACGGGCATATTGGCTCTGAAATTAAATTATATATTTACATATATAAATTATTTTAAAAAGAGTTTGTTTCTTGCAAGGGCATTTCTAGGAACTCTAGGGAAATTTTACTTATAACACTTTTAATTCTAACAAATGGCAAGAAGCCATTTTCTATGGATTCTGGGCATATAAATCAATTTTTCAGTAGTTTAGAAAGTAAATCTGATATCTAGTAGAATATAAGACTTGACAATATCTGTAATATTTACCTCGGTAGCATTTGCAAAATCCAAGGCACCAATGCACTTACAATCAGTGTAGATGAGATGACCGAGTTGATCCTTGCTCTTGCCGGTGCAGCCGGCGTGACAGGCTGATATGTATGTGATATTGTTTGGACTGCAGATGGGGGCATAGTGTACATATTCGCAGTGGCACGAGGCACTGCAGCTGTCAATGGTTGGCGACAAAGACGTCGCCTTATCGCTATCATCACAGCCAATGAACACATAGCACAGAATGCCAGCCACCGTAAATATATCAACGATGCCATTCCATGCGGCCATTGACCGAGCACTGGGCTTGTATTTGGAGATTACGTAGCCGGAGAGTAGCACTCCCGCTGCGGAGAAGCCCAGCGCGACAGTTCCTGTGGCCATGGTCGCCGTACTGGCGGATTGTTGATATTGGGTCTCAATGTATTTGGGCGTGAATGTCCAGTAGGGTACGTAGCCGAAAAAGTAGAGCATTGAGGCGATTGTATTGTAGACATAGATTTTGTTTTTGGCCAAACGTTTGACGGCCAGCATCATGTCTTGCAAGGAAAGTTCCGTCAGTGAATTTTGGCCAGCTCCATCTGAAGACTTTAATCTTCTTGCTCTTGCGCTGGGTAACTCCTTGGGGAACATGTAGATAAATACGGCAGAGACAAGCATTATGACAGTCAAAATGATCCAGCCAAGCCACCAGGCGCCCAACCAACGTGTATCATTATTGCCTATCAGCGGTTCCAACTGCGGATCAATATACAGGCGCAGGCAAACGGAAGCCAAGGAGTAACCAAAAGCCGGACCCAGCATGCGCAGAAAAGCGGACCAACCTTTCAGTGAATGGAAACGCAATAAGCAAACAGGTAATGAAGTGTGTTCCGGACCTACTGAGCATAGCTGGTGTCCTGGATTTGCTTGAGTTATCATCCATGTAGGAGAGGCCCAGAGTGTAGAACAGAGAGCATCCAATGCCAGAGATAAACTGCGCAAAGAATAGTAAAAAGATGGGTGTCCAGTGACTGACATCCTGCACACAGCTGGGATGAGCATTTTGGCAGAGTGTGCGATCCTCCTGCGTGGCATTCAAGTATCCTGTACTCATGTATTCCCGTGTCAACTTTAACGCATCCTCGCCAGAGCCATATATGAAATGTGGAGTGGCCATCAGCAGACAAAAGACTGCCAGTATGACTAGTCCTGCGGGGAACTAATGTAACTCTAGAGGCTATTTACTGTTTGGTTGATATTACCTAAGGCTATATAGCGTGGACGATGTTTTCGTCCCGTATAGTAGCCTAAAAAGCCGGAAGTTAAAGTAGTGCTTATGTCACTGCCAACCGATATCAATCCAGACGTTCTTGTGGGTATCCCATATCGCTTCTCCAGCGTCGTTATCGTTCCATTAAAATATGAAAATGCCATGGCTATGAAACAGCCAGCGATGCCATATACCACAACGTATACATTTTCTGTAGCCCAACTGGAATATGAATTATACTGTCTTTATTCTTTATTCAACAACCGAAGTTTTCTGATGCATTTGATTCCCCAAATTTATAAAAATAATCTCCTTTTGTGACAAATTGAATTACGCACGAACTATTTATTTATAATTATATACTTTGAATATATTAGATTTTTTTACTCTGTACAGGTTTTTGAAATTGGCTATGGAAGTTATGTCGACATTTGTGAACTTCTTGAAACCCCACACAAATTTTAAAGAATTTATTCTGGTCATTTATTTTGCTTCAGAAATATTTGAGTTATCAGGCTAAGTCTTCCAGTTAAACTAATTGATTTAAATAATTAATACCTTTGCAGTCGTGGACCCTTGAAAATGCCAAAGCCGCAGAGAGTATCAGAATTTTCAAGCCGTTCCTTGGCTTTATTTTGCTTGTTGGTATTGGGAATCTTTAGGAATTGAGTAACTTCACTCTCGTCATCTGCCATTGCTGGGTCACTTAGTAAAACTAAACGATTGCTATTTGTTAAATGCATGTCTGTCTGTGATCTAAATAATTATACGAGCTTACAGCTTAGAAGCAAATCCCATGAGTTACAGATAAGCTAGTTAAGATTAGGTCCTATGTACTTTATTTTAGATTGTTCAAATACAGACATACTTTTGATACTTTACATACCTAGGGATGCATTTACATATGTTGATTGTTGTTGTTGGTTTTGTTGTTTTGCTGATGTTGCATTACGTTGAATAACAATGAAGTGAGAGCCTTGACGGTTGGATTTATCACACGATCTTTGCTGCCATCTTACAGTTTATTGTACCGACAGACTCGTATCATTAAAATCACACTTACAATCTTGCACATACGCAGACAGAAATAGACTACAAAATACGATATAAGCGATGGGCACCAAAATCACTCACAATCTTAACTAAGCTTAGCTTATGGATATTATTTGTATTTTTTGTTTAATATTATCATAATAATTATAGTAACTTATATTTCGGTATTCTTTTCAGCATTCTGTTCCTCCTCGTGCTGCACGATTTGCATTTCGACTTCCTTGACTTCCTCATCGAATATCTTTAGGTCTTTCACATAATACCACACACCAAAATCGAATACAGCGCCCAGGAATATAAAAATAGCAGCCGTAAAATTGAGTGTATACCTAAAGGAAAGCAAAATGAATAACCGTTTTGCATAAATCTATAACTTATAGAATTTAAATACGCTTACCTCATGGATTCCGGATCGTAGAGCCAACAGTTGCCCTTGTTGGTGCACGTCTTGCCCCACACCAAGCACATGCGATCGAAGATCCAGCCAAAGAATATGGGACCGGGTATAAAGGCAAACATCGAGCACAACATCATGCCAAATCCCATGGCTGCGGTCTTATCCTTCTCCGGAACACAGCGCACAGAAACCAGAAAATTGGATGCTCTACCAGCGGCGCCAATGAATTTCAGGAAGCACATTACCGACAAAAAGGCAACAAACTGCGTCCAGCAGTTGACAGGACATGCACCCGGCGTAGCCTGACCAGCTGCCAGTAACTTATGGTTCGAAATGGGAGATTCGTATTTGAAAAAGATTGAGCACATTATATGTGAAAGTTACCTCCAAATATGCTGTAGAAGAAGCTGTGCCTCCAAGCGCTTTGCCACCAAGATCCCAGGTGCTGTTCTCGTTGGTCAAATCAAATGCGGTGAGACGTCTAAAGGAGCTGTTGTCGGCTACTGTTGGTCCTGGTATACAGGAGCAGTCGTAGAAGATCTGACAAAAAACAAACCCAATCAATTTATAGTTTCAGCTATACTTGTCTCGAACTGCTTGCCTTTTTGCCATCGGAGAGAACGTGCTCCATCTTGCAACCCGCATGGCAGGCGGATATGTATGTCATGCTGTTCTCGCCGCAAACGGGTGAATATCGCACGTAGTCGCAGGTGCAGGCAGAATTACAGGTTGCAGTATCATTGAGATCGCTGTTGTGAATGTTCACAATGACCGAACGCTCGTTGTCCGGACAACCAATGAAGGCATAAGTGACAACACCGGCCACCACCATAACGGCACAAATCACATTCCAGGCGGCCATATAGCGTGCACGTGGTTTATACCGTGAGATAATAAAGCCGGAGAGCAGCACTCCAATGGCGGAGAAAGCCAGTGCCACTGTGCCCGTAACCATGCTGGAGGTGGCTGCCGACTGCTTGTACTGTACCTCAATGTACTTGGGTGTGAATATCCAGAAGGGCGTGTAGCCAATCAGATAGAAGATGTTCGACAGCGTGTTGCACATGTATGTCCGGTTTGTGCTCAGCCGCTTGAATGTGAATAGCATATCCTTGAACGAGGCCTTCGGCTCGGCGGTGGGCTGTGGTTCCAGTTCGGCGGTCAGTTTTTCCTTATCTGTCCTCTGCTTGTGCTTCAGCGAGAGTTGTTCCCGACGCCGTTTTTCCTCCACCATGCGTCTGGCAGCGGCGCGGGGCAACTCTTTGGGAAACATAGATAGAAAGATACCCGAGCAGGTTAGCAAGCCGCCCATGACTAACCAGCCCAGCCACCAGGCGCCCAGCCAGCGTGGATCCTTGTTATTGATAACCGGATGCAGCTGCGGTGCAATATACAAACGCAGACAGAACGAAGCCAGGGCATAGCCAATAGCCGGTCCCAGCATTCGCAAAAAGTACGAGAGACCTGAATGCCAAAATTGATTAAGTATTAACAAATACCTTTTTTATTTATTGATGAAGATGAAGAGACTGATTCCAACTGATTGACCACTAAATAAAACCTAAGATGAAACCTGCTCTTTACTTTTTAAACATAGTTTATTATAAATGAATATTGTTTTATTATGTTCTGAAAATTATTCTTCAAACCCAGACTTATAATCTCCATTCACTCTAAGTTTTTATCAGAACGAGATTGTTTCCATAGCTTTTTGAAGATTATAAACTTGCTAAATCATCCGCTAATAAACGGAAGCGATAGTCGGTTCTTGGGAGGAGTAAGCGTTTTCAGCTTATCGCGGCGCTTCGTTCCTTTATTAGAGTTATAAAGCAATAAGCTAACTTTGTCTTTACCACACTTTCTCTTTTTAGAAACTGGTGTTATTCAGTTATATGGGAGCCATTGTCGTTGCGGGTTTATGAAGATTTAAAAGGGTTATTTGTTCTAGAAACTTACTCAGAAGGGCTGGTGTCTTGGATTTTTTTGTATTGTCATCCATATACGAGACGCCGAGTGTGTAATAAAGTGAGCCACCGATGCCAGAGATAAACTGGGCCACAAAAAGCAGCACCTGGGGTGCAAAGTTACCCTCACCCATTTCGCACTCGGCCCCGCCACCGGTTAAACGGCACAGAGTCTTCGAGCGCTGCTCCTCAATGGCCTCCAGTGTGGCATTCTCATCGGGTATGGCGCCAAACTCCTTGGTCAACGCCAAAGCATCATCGCCGGGTCCATATAGAAAATGCGGCGAAGTTGTCATCAAACAGAAGACGACAATGGTTAATAAACCTGTAAATCGTTATTTGAACCCTTAGTTATCAAATTAAAGAGTTTATTTCACAGCTTACCAAAGCCAATCCACCGTGGTCGATGACCCTTGCCAGCATAATAGGCCAAAACGGCAGAGACCAGAGTTTGGCTAATATCATTGCCTACCGAAATGATGCCCGTATTCTTCGAGGGAATCTTAAATCGTTTCTCGATGGTGGTTATGGTGCCATTAAAATACGCATACGTCATGGAAAAAATGCAGCCCACAATGCCATAAAGTATCACATAAGCAGTTTGATTGGCAAAGCTGGGAGGGGGGGTTGGGTAAATTATAAAAATGATAGACAGGAAAATGTACATAAGATTACAATCACCTTGATGGCCAGCACCAAATAGTTATTATGTTGCTTTAAAAATAATATTTTGTAATATTTTGTAAAATCACGAAATAAATTTCTGAAGAAGCGAAACGCTTTCTCGCAATTTTCAAAATGATATCTTATCTTTAAATTACTTTTTATCTTAATTTGGCATTTACTCGCCATTTAAAATGGTTTGAAACATTAAATTACTTTAAAGTAATATTTACGTTCTAATAAATGATGCAAGCTGCCTTTGGCAATATGGATGGACGATTTAAAAAATTCCGAGTACACTTATTTTTCTGAGGGTTTGCTCCTTCGACTTACCGCTGAAAGAAAGCGCCCCTGAATAGCCAAAAACCGCAGGTTACATTCTGCTCCAGTGGCATATCGTTCAGCAGCTTGTTGATTTCCTCGGTCGTTTGACGATCCTGTTCAGATTTCTGCTTCTTTAACTTGGCCTTGATGCGGGCCTGTGCACTTCTATCGCCTGCTTCGCTGCTATGTGCGTTGCCATTGTCCAGCAATTTGGCATCGGCTGCCACGTGGCGTTCCTCCTCTTCCTCATCCAGCTGGTCCACCGTGGACACTCTGTGCGTGGCCGTCTCGACGTCCTGCGCCGATTGCGCCTCCAAATCCGCATTTCGCGCATTTGCATGCTCCTCGCTCTGCACCATTTTTCAATGATGTTGCTTGTTGTGTCTGTGTGTGTGTATGTGTTTTTTTTTTGTGTGTGTTTTTTGCGGGATTGGGGCAGTAAATTTTTTACGGGCTGCACATTGGATTCTTCCGGCTGGGAACGGACAGACAAGAACACAAGACACACTGGAACGTGCACAGTAATTATTTTAATTTTCACGATTTTTCACGAACAATTAGCTGGCTTGCTTGTGTGTTTTGTGTGGATTGAAGAAGTGTTGTAGCCACTTAGTGGCTGCGATCGAAATGCTGTTGTAGATGCTTCTGATATTGTAGAGCAACCGCACGCGTCACCATTTGCGGATCGAGTGGCATGTTGTGCCCAAATTACTTGCGATCTTAACTGTATAGAAATCTCAACTTGCAGTATCTTCCTGTACCGTTCGCGCCTTTGTTTATCCAGAGATGAACACTCTTGTCTGGCTTGTTGTTTTTGTTGTCACGATTGTCGACAGTGTCTATCAAGATCAGAGGCGAGGTTGTCCCAACTCGTTGCGTTAAGATTATCTTCTCGTATGGGTTATCACATGTTTTAATCTTGAATATATGAGACACAAGCCGCCCCCTGTCTATATTTTCCACGACAACAAATGGAATCTTTATCACACATTGCTTCTGTTAATAATGGCACAATTTCTAGATTTCTGTCTTTTTCTTTTGGATTTTCATATTTTCAAACAATCAAATTATAAGACACTAAAATAGCAAAAGTGTGCTATAAGGGCACAAATATTTATACACATATTTACATATTTGTATATTTAAATATGTACATATGTGTATATGTCTGTGTATATATGTCTCTGCTTAGCTCTTGTACACCCACACAGATGCAACTGTTCAACTGAGGCAAATTTGATGATAAGTTATTAATGCCCAATCATTGTTAGGTTTTAATTTTAGCTTTAGACATTCATGCATTGTAACAATTTATTATTCATATTTTTTTTGGTGAATTGATGAATTTCTATTTAAACTATAAACATTCATCGCTAATTGAATCAATCTTGTTACATTGATTTTTGTATTAGGAATATTTAGTTAAAAGTGTTCTCTTCAAATTCTACGTTTTTTTTTAAACATTAAAAGTGAGTCCACAAAATTAATTGAAATAATATTTGAATCGAATGAGTCAAATTAAATTTATTTGATTTACTATCTATTGTTCATATGCTAAAATTTTATGAAGTGCTCAGATAACAGATCTCATTTAATAATCTTTGATTTCTATATATTATTATTAAGTTTGTATTTGTGATTTAGTCAATAACTATATAAGCCTTATATTGCTTAACTTTTATGGGCATGTAATTTCAGTGATTCGCTTATTGCTCTGTTTCTTCTCGTCCGTTCTTCGTTATTATTTTGATATTCGAAATGAGTGTCTGTGTGTATAGGTGAGCTCAACGTGGTCTATTATTTAATGCATGTAAATACTTATATAGTATTCACTTGAGTGTAATCGAGTATGTAGGCATATACTCATACACACTCGCACACACGCACACTCGCATGAGTGCTGGTCTTGTGTGTGAGTGTGTTTTCAACGCCACAATTCACTTAGCTTATTTAAATTTATGCGCTGCTTATCACATGAACTTTATCTTGATTATGTTATGTTATGTTTGAATCGTCGTATGAATATGCAAATTCATATGTATATATATATATCTAATAAGTGTTAGCACAAATATATTTAACTAAGCTTATCACACTAAGAGCTTATCACATTTTGGAAATATTTCTTGTCACTTTTTTGTTGAAACTGGTATTATTTACAGATATTAGCATCTGATATATGTTCCAATTATTTAATCATTAAATATTTTGATTGTTAAATTCGCTTGCTTTTAGTTTCTAGTATGGAAATAAGGCGGTTTTCAGCGCCTAGTCTTAATATCGATAGCCTGAGCAAAAATCTACACCAAGGTGGTCTCAAAACGCGCCCCGATAGAGATGATATCGTAACCGTAACCGTAGCCGTACTAAACTAAGCTAAATGTAGCGTTTATGATGGCTGTGGAAAGCTGCTCTAAGATAAGTGATGAGTACCTCGTCTTGCCTCGCTGGGAGTGGAAGCCACTCGAGTCTTCAAAGCTAATTTCAATTCAGCGTTGATCTCCAAGCTCGACTGGCAGTGTGTTTGTATCTCAGTGTGTGTGTGTGTGTAGTATGTATGTAGTGTGTGTGACTGTGTCACTGACATCAATACCAAGCTGAGATGTCTGTGTGTGTATCTTATCCAGAGCACAATTCTTTATTAGATTTGCCTGGCGTCGCTTGCACTTGGATCATACAAATTCAAAAGTGTAATAAACACATAAATACATTTTCCAGGGTTATCAACGTGAAACTTTATAAAGAATTACTGAATATCGTAGGTATCGTAAATAAAAAACATCAAATACATTTACTATAATACAGTATTCAGTACATTTGCAGTAGGGTATCAAAGTTTCGGTTTATCAGAAGGAAAGTGTCACTTATCGATACGGAAATATTGCTTGGAAATAGATTACTGCAACCTTGATATTCATATTGTATCAATTTATGATAGCTATGGGCATATACATAGTTTCAAAAAACCTCCCCGCATTTTTAAAAATTATTCCACCCAAATCAATCGACGACGTTGATTTATTTTTAACCCCCGCTGGGTGTCTGCGGTTAGGCAAAATCACGCCGTCTGATTCAATCAACCCCAAAACCAAATCGTCTAGTATCTGGTGTCACCAGTTGCGACCCCAGAAGCCAGATGACAAGTGCGTCGAAAGCTAAACCCATATCCAGCTACAGATCGTAAACGATATGCGACACGCTTTCGGCTGGCGAGCTTTAACAGACAGCTTTAATTGAATTGAATTGAATTGAAACGGAGCAGAAATGGGAAAGTTGAAAGTGCTTCTACTGTGGAATACCAGCTAATATTTATAGTTTTTTTATTTCCTATACATTTTTGCAAATTATGTGAACCATCTAGGACTTATTATTATTGACTTGACTGTGAAACACCCTAAATTATAAACAAAATAGGCAATTAATGGTTTCACAAAATTTATTTGCTTGTTCATAATGCTCTTTAATTATGTATATTGGTAGTAACCATAATGGATCCTTGAGTGTTAAGAAAACTGGAATGGGTTGGAATGGAGTATTAAATTCGAATTTGAGTTTGTAAGAAGCAACTGAAATCGGGCAATAAGCAATCGAATGGAAACGCTTAAAAATAATCCCGCTTCATGCGAAAGCTGCCAAATAATTGGCCAACTCTGTGTGTGTGTGCGTGTATATGCGTGTGTGTGTGCGTGTGTGTGTGGGTGGATGTGTGCGTGTGTGAACATCATATGTTTGTCAGAGTAATAAAAATCAAAAACATAATTTCTTGTATCAATTGAGCGGCAATAAAAAAGTTCGCCCAGCATGTTTATTATTATGAGATGTTGTGTGTATATTTTGTTTGTCAAAGGACAAAGACACATCTGCCACAGTTGTGTGACACACACGCACCCACACATACACACACAGACACTCTGTGAAAGCCGTAATTGCAGCATGCAGAGTAGCAAATGTGGCCGCATTCAGGATGGGGGGGAAATTTCAATGCCGGGCCAGGCCAGCGGGCAAGGCTCAGCATAAATAACAGCAAATGAGTCAGCGGCTGAGGCTGCTGCTATTGAAGACGGCATCTTTATCTATCTCTCTCTCGTACGTGTGTGTGCGTGTGTGTGTGTTGTTGTTGTTCTTCTGTGGTGGCACTTTTGCGCGCTGCCTCTAAGTATGCAATACAAAAAAGGCCACTGCAAATTATGCTGCTGGCACGCGACCCGCTGCCAGTTGCCATTTGGTAGCGATTTTATTTCCTTGACGCTTTCCTTTTGTTGCCAACAAAACCGTATGCAAATGACATTTGTGCCAAGTTCCCCGGAGGCCTTATCGCTGCCACACACATAAGCATGTCCTATGGGTAAGGGAGTGGGAGAGTGGTTGGCGTACAAACTGCAAGCGTTGACAATAAATAATATTTGCAAATAAAGTGAATCGCCATGAATTTTAATGCAGCAAAACAAATTTCGCAAAGCCACAATAAATTCAAGGGGCGTGTTTTGTGGCTCACCCATTGCTTATCTTGGGCAGCCTGTGGCACTAGCAACTCCATTTACACTGCGCAAACACAGGAAATGAGTTGCAGATTGCCTTAATATAAAAAGTTTTGAAAAAAAACCTTGGAAACTATGATTGCTAGGCAATAACTTTTTCAATGAGGTTGCCAAGTTCTTACCCAAAATACAATTAAACTTTCTTTTATGCACTAAGACATTCAATATTTTCGAAACTTGCACAAAATTCTAATCCAATATTTCTATTTCTTCAGTGCCACTAGCAAAACTTTGCATTGGCTTTAGGTCTGTGGTATTTTGTCATTTACAACAAAATTTAGAAGTAAATGTGATGAGTATAATTAAATTTTAATAATTGTTTTAAAGACTACTTCCAATTTGCTGTCTCGGCCCTGATTAAGGTAACATATTCGTAACAAGTTCTAAATTTGTATTCAAGGCTTTCAAATGTTTAAAATTGTTAGGCAAAAGAGATTCTGATAACTATTAACAGGGCTTTAAGTTTAGTTTTAGCTTGTTTAGTTCGCTCAGTGTATGTAAATGCCAAGACGAATGCTGCGGCTTATTGACGCCACAACTTCCGTTTCGCTCTTAACCCCTTTTGCCACCCCACATGTGTGGTTGTGCGCAGTGTGCCCAAACCGACGTGTGAACTAAACCGCTTAAGCACTCAATTTGCGCGTGAAAAGGAACCTGACACCCACAACGCACACCCACACACACCCACACACACACATGTGTGTGAGAGCGTCTGCCAACCGCGGCACATGTCAGCACTTTGCTGTGATTTCCGTTTCCGCTGCCGCCGTCACCCCTTCGTTTATTGATATGCCTGGCATAATGGCGTTTAGCATACGCTACGACGCACTCTTTATTTTTATGTTTGGACTTTTTTTTTGGTTGTTGTTACTGCCTTAACCCTTAATAAACATACATGTATTTATTTGTGACTTCCTGTGTCAAATTAGGGTTAAACGCTGTCAGCCCCTGCCATGCATTGAGCTACTTTTGATGTGTTTTATTCTTACGCAGCTTTACTCTTAACATTTTACTTGGCTGCATCGCCTTAAATAGTAGGTCTTAAGTCTTCATTCGTCTGCGGGACATACTCGAAATATAGCTGCGCTTAATATGCCGACCGCATGGAAAACCCACAATTTTGCTTTCCAATTTTGCTGTCAATTTAAGTTGTAATTAACAGCAGAGAGCCAAGAGCCGACGCTTGCTCCACTGAAATGGTGGAAGAAAAAAACATAAGCTTTCGTCCTGCGACTCCATGTGCATGCAGCTCACGTGCGCTCATTACGCATTTGATAAATTTAGCATGAAGGAGGGCAAGTGGGTCGTCAGACAAGGTGCGGACGACCTAATCGCCCAAACCACCCGAATGCGAGACCAATGTCAAAATAGACAATGCAGCGATTACTTTTGTGCGCCCGACCAGGTATCGCAGTTAGCCCGCTCTCCAAATAACGTGGCCATTCATATTCCGCACATAATTAATCAAAAAAGCAGCGTAGTTTTTACACACAATAGCTTCGC